GGGAAACCGAAGGGACTGTTTGTCCTCTTGCCCCACCAGGCAAGCCTGAGGGATCCCAGGGCTTGTGGCATCAACAGCTGTGGCCCTGGAACTGTTGTCATGTGGATGGGGCTCCTGCTGGGTGAGACTTATTCTAAGGGAGTGTAGTAAATAAAGCCCTAGCTCCAGCACTGGGGAATGTGAAAAGGATCTTGCCCCATTCTTAAAAGATGAATGCAGATTATGCTAGGGATTATACACTGGTAGTAGGCATGGGACTGTTGGTAATACTGTTGCTCAGCCCCATAGATTTTGATGGTTCTTAGGAATATACTATAGGATATATTACTAAATCCAAGAGCTGCAAGGCAAGATGGCTACTTTGACCAGTTCTCACAGGAGAAGTATAGATTATTCTGGAGATTATATAATGGCAAGCATGGGCCTACAACAATGCAATGGAGATGGAACCTTCCTCATGTCCCACAGGGCAAGTGCAGGTGTTCCTGTGTTTTACTCCCAGTGCCAGACCTGCAGGATCCAGTGGTAACCTGTCTTAGTTCTCATTTTCACATACAGGTTATGCTAGAGTTTGTGCCCTGGGAAGTACATGTCTGCAGCACTGAAATACAGATAGCATTCCCACTGTGTCTCCAGGGGAGGACTCAGGCAACTCTACTACTCCTAATCTCAGAACTGCACAGCTTGGAAGGTACCTCAACCACAGGTTGATCACAGGTTACTCTGGGGACTGTCCACTAGTCTGTGCAAGCCTACAACAATGGGATGCAGAGAGGGTCCTCCCCAAGACCCAGAGATCCAGGGTGCAATGTGGTTCTTACATAGATCCCTACGATGACATCTAAGTCATCAGAGTTGCTGAACTCAGAGGGTACCCTACCCAGGTCCCATATGGTGATTGCATGTTTTGCTGACGATTATGCACCAGCAGGTGCCAACTCTGAAGCAGAGCAATACAAAACCTTCTTCAGGCCCCATGGTGACCACGGGTGACTCTGAGACATCATCAACAGTCACAGACTTACAGCTGCAGGAAGCAGCAGTACCCTAACCCAGGTCTCACAGGACAACTGCCATTTATTCTGGGGATTGCGAACTAGTAGCTGCCCGCCTCAAGCAAAGCGATCAGATAGGGCACTCCAGTTCCCACAGGCACGTGTGTGCCATTCCAAGAGTTGTAGCACCAATGGCAGCAGATTCAGAACTCCAGGAAAGATGGGACCTTCTGCAGAACTCATAGAATCCAAGAGCAATAGTGTGGCATGTGTCCCAGCTATCCAGCAGCCTGTGCTGAGATGCAAAAAAGAACTTCCTTAGGCCTGGGTCTCTAGGCAACTGTTTAGCACCAAGCAGTAGAGGGTAACTTCCCTAGGTTGCAGCAAATGAGCAAGCATGTGTCTAACCATCACAAAGCTATAGGATACAGAGGGGCCTGCTATATGCCCTCGAAAGTGCCTTGGCTCTACGAACTTCTGGTAGCAACTGGGCTATCTTCCCCAAGACAGAATGGCATTAAGCAGTCACTGTATTGCAAGCAGCTTCAGGCTGGCATTATGGTGGGTGAACAGAAACAAAACTAGTTTTTTGGAGCAATAGTAGTGGCTTGGCCCCCAGTCAGTCTTCCAGACTGAATCAAAAGCCAAAGGGGACTGTGGAATTACTTTGTACATATTCTACTGGTTTGTGGTGATGGCAGGGATTTTGTTTACTTCCTCTTGGCAAAATTTTTCCTGAGCCAGGGAGCTGGAGTAGGAGCAGCAGTGCACTCTGTTCTTTTCTCTTACATCTCTGCTTACAGGGATAACTGGTTTTAGAATGAAATCTGGACAGTTGGGTGTTATAAGACTGACTCCTCTAACTGTTGCCTCAAGGTAAGTGAAGAGTCATTTCATTTTCTACCAAGTGGGAATGGAAGTCCTTCTTTTCTGTCCTGCTTCAACATCTGGGTAACAAGTGTTCACTATTGTGGGTGGCTGTGGGAATGCATTTCCCTAGTAGGCCTTCAGTGATCACATGGTCTTGTCTGTCAGATGTTCTACCTTCATTAATCTAAGTCTGGTTAGGTTTGAGTATTCAAGTGGTGCCTTTTACCAATTTTTTGTGTGGTCTCTAGTGATGCTACATGGGAGGTTGTTCCATCCTGCCCAGCTTAGATAAAAGTCTCAATTCTACATGTAGCCTTTGACACCATCCCAGTGGGAGAAAGGAAACATATTACAAACTCATGACTGTAGAAGTCAAAATTAATTTTTTCATGAAGCAGGAGTGTGCCAGAGTTTTTACTGTTTGGCCAGAAGTTTTCTGTCATTCTAAGCTGTATTTTTCCTCATTTGCTTAGCATTATGGTTTGATCATCATCTACTGAGAAATTAAGCATGTGACACATGGACTCAAGCATTTCAGAAAAATGTCAGGAATGGAATGGATCATTCTCATTCTGGAAAACCTTTGGATTCTCTTGTACAATGGTATGGAACCCCATGGCATACACTGGATAGGATCCACAAGGTTTTTTGAAAATGTTTTACCATTCCCAAAAAGTTGTTTACCTGCTTAAGTTGAAAAGGACATGGGAGAAATGAGGAAAGGCTGTTGGCATTTAATTCTGCAAGCAGGAAATGGTGTTAACAGTTGCTAATCTTCAAGAAAAATGAAGAGTGACTCCAAGGGCAGTGCCCAAGCAGAAGGCAGAGCAGCAGACCCAGGACAAAGGGATGCAAAAGGTATAAAGCGAAGTCACTGTGGGCACCCAGAAGCTTATGGAACCACAGGTGCCAACAGACCCATGATGTTGCTGTCAACAGATTCAAGGTCTGCAGAATTAGGTGAGCCCAGTGGGTAAGCTGTGAGCCAGAGATTTAATTTTCCAAACTTGACTTTTAATGGAAATTCTCCTGAATTTAAAAACTAACTGAGGCTGCTTATTTTATTCCTCCACTGCTCCCCATCGGAAGTGGGACTAAGGAGTAAAATATTCCTATTTCACCACCGTAATTTGGAAGTTGAGAGCATGTTCTTCTTGTTCCACAGGTGGAAGAGTTCTGTCCTAGGCTGGATTATGCTAAAGATGAGATGACAAGCCAGGATCTCTGAGCTGTAATTTAGATGAGATTTTGTTCTACAGAGCTGGCGCTTTAGATGGGTTGAGACTTTCAGGGGTGCAAATATAAATGGGGAAGAGTGGGTTATAGTATGTTGACCAATGATCCCCAAGATACGTCCACAGCTTAATCCTAAGAACCTAGAAATACTGGGCCTAGAACAATAGACTAGTGGCTAAGTCCTTGCTTTGCATCCACCAGAATCCCATATAGGCACTGGTTCATATTCCTACTACACCACTTCCCATCCAGCTCCCTGCTTGTGACCTGGAACAGCAGTAGAGGATGATGGCCCAAAGCCTTGGGACCCTGTATCCATGTGGGAGACCAAAAAGTTGCTAGTTCCTGGCTTCAGGTCAGCTCAGCTTCAGCCATTGTGGCCACTTGGGGAGTGAACCAGCAGACAAAAGATCTTTCTCTATCTCCTTCTCTCTGTAAATCTGCCTTTCCAATAAAAATAAACAAGTCTTGCTTTTCAGAAAAGAGCCTATAAATACTTCATATGGCAAAATGTAGGATTCCATTAAAAATTCAGAGAAGCAGTACTTACTCTAGATTTTACAGATTGGCTTAAATTCAGTAAGTGTTTCCATAAAAGACACATAAAAGAGATATCAATAACAGAGAAGACTGGCGAAGACTTGGGGGCAGAGACACAGCTGCAAGTCAAGGGTTGTCTGGGACCATCTGAAGCAGCAAGAAGCAAAAACAGGATCTTCCCTAAACCCCTCAGAGGCGGCCTCTGGGTCACATCTCTGTTTCATACTTTCTGTCTCCAGAACTGTAAGGAAACAAATCTCTGTGGCATTACACCAGCCAAGGCATGATTTGTTCTAGCAGTCCTTGGCAGCTAACACATACAGGGAGGGCAAGCTTTTCTTGGGGCTGTGTGCCAGTGGTCAGCTTTTCTAGGACCTGAGATACAGCAAACAACAAAGAAACCCCAGGGACTTCACCACCCAAGGGAGTGTACCTGGACATTGCTTTCTTATCTCTTTCAGAGTTTTTTTTAATACTTATTGTTATCGTGAGAAGTTTTTGCTCTTTTTGGAAAAGTTTGTTTTTTCCATTTTCTTAGGAGCAACTCTCAGGTGTTCTGACTGCAGGTTTCTCCCTTTTCCAATTACTTAGAACATTTCCAGGCATAAACTTTTTAAACAACTGCTTTGCCTGTGTAATCTGCTTGCTCAAAATTCTTCAGGGACTCCTATCTATAAAGTCAGTCCATGGCCCTTAACCCAGCACTCACTACCCTTCCAATCTAACCATATCCCAGCTTTTCTGGTTTTATCAGGGTTTTCTAGCTCAAGCTTTATCAAACTCTGGTTCCTTATGATGCTAACAACCAACACACACACACACACACACACACACACACACACACACACACACGGATCCTACAAAGGAGACTGGCAAATGGTGGATTTATACAAAGTGAAACCAGTTTAACCAACACACACACACACACACACACACACACACACACACACACACACACAGAGGGATCCTACAAAGGAGACTGGCAAATGGTGGATTTATACAAAGTGAAACCAGTTTCTTTACCGAACAACCCTGATCATCATCAACATACAACATAAATCTCCAGGAATCAATTTGAGTAGGAGGCATTTCCTACCCTTGACTCCAGACCACCTCATGCCATTTCTGGAAGCCCCTTTGTCAAATCCCCATGCCCACTGTTGTTCTCCAATTACATTCACCTGTGTGTGATCACTTCCATTTTGGTTCTCTTGCTTTTACATAGAAAATGAGTTTTGTGAAATGCTGATTCAGTGCTTTTGCAATCTTCTATTTAATTTTTTTTAAATAGAAGTTTCCATTAGGTTGGGTTTTCTGTTCAGAAGTCCTAGCTATAGGCACTATTAAAATATAGAGACATTTAAAAAATAAATTCATTTAATAATACTGCTAGGTGTTTTCAGAGGCAGGAGAGCTCCCATGCCCCCACCATCACACCCAGCTGTGTTTGTGCGTGGACACGGGAGACATGGGCACAGTGGACAACGGACAGGGATACCCCTTCCTCCTTTCCATTTTCTTCATGACAGATCACTCCCGGGTAATCTTTGGAACTCAAAAAAGGCAGTCTCTCTTCCATCCTGGCCCCAGTGAGTCACTTTGGCCAGTGGTGGGGCTGGGCGGGGTGGGTGGAGCTTACCACTCACTACCAACCTTGCTGAGAAGGAGGGTGACCACCAAAGTCGTAGTAAAAATAAAATTTTAGCAGCAGTAAAACAACAACAGGAAAAGGGCATGGGGCCAGGCCAAATCCACGATTAAAAAGTCTTTTCAAGAGCTAAATCCGGATGAGACACCAGCTGTGAGGTGATAAAGGACAGGTGACACAAACCGCTAGACGGGTTCAGGAGAGGACAGGCCAGCAGCACCAGGTGCTGCTCAGACTCTGTTCTGGAAGGTTCAAGTAAAGGCATCAGCCCAGAGGTTTGTCGGGCACCTCTGTGTACTTGAGAACTTTCAGTGGATGAAGTAGCTGCTGTGGCTTTACTTCCCTGAATGCTTGTGACTGGTTTCAACGTTTGCCGGGACTCTGTGATGGAGGGCTTCCAGTGTGCAGACAACGGGCCAGTGCTGCTCGCTGAGGGCCACGCCTTTGGTCACAGCTGTTAGGAAAGGGAGAGCCCTGTCCTGGTGCTTAGACCACTGGGCCCTCACCAGGGCAGGAGCGCTGCTTCAGAAGAGCCTCAGGCCACACAGTCACAATGCCTGTTCCAGGCTGCTCTGCTCTTCTTCTCCTGTCTGTAACCAGCTCCAGTCCAGAGTCTAAAAGGCAACATGTACATGATTAGTTCAGCAGCTATTTCTTACTCTTTAGGAGGCAGGCAGAAAGAATGAGATGCTCCCTGGCTGTGGCCTGGGAAAGCAGTCAAGGACGGCCCGAGGCCTTGGGACCCCAACCCGTGTGGGAGACTCAGGAGAAGCTCCAGGCTCCTGGCTTCAGATTGGCTCAGCTCCGGTTGCTGTGGCCACTTGGGGAGTGAATCAATGAGCAGATCTTCCTCTCTGTCTCTCCTTTTCTCTGTATATCTGACCTTCCAATAAAAAAAAAAAACTAAAAAAAGGCATGAGAAGTACACTTACACCCCTTCACTGGTAACAGTCCTGTTACCACAGGGATCCCAGCTAAGCTAAGCCGTACGGGATGCAGTTCTGTGGCTCCAGAACTGGGAAGGTGATTTTAGCACTACTCACAGCTCACAGTGCGTATTTTTATGCTCACTGCAGGTAGGTGGCCCAAGCATCACCTCAGCTCTCTCTTTCCAACCTCACCAATTGGAATGGCCTGAGGAGACTTCCTTTTCCTTTGACAGGAGAGCAAGCGAGTACAACACACAGTGCCCGGAGGAAAAAGTGCAGGGGAAGACACAGAAAGCCCATCCATGGGAGGACACTCCCACAGACCGCAGGGGACCACCCTCAGTGCCGACAACCCTGGGATTCTCCTAAAAACTTAAAGCACCAGGGGGAGGCCAGCAAGTCCAGCCATGCCTCAGTATCCTCCCAGCTATGTAATCTTTTTCGGAATGGCTAGATGGTCTCTGCATTAGTTTCCTGGTGACTAGCACTGCCTACCACCAATCTATGATTGTCTGAGGGGCAGCACCATGATAGGTTCCTGCTCTGTCACTGGAGTTGAGCAAGATCCCAACACAGAGGTCCAGCAGTGGCACAGAACGATGTGGAGGGCCTTCTGAGAATAACATTCCCTTCCTCATGATGCCCACTCAGTGACTGTCAGCTACTGGTGATAACGATGAAAACATGTGTTAGGGAATTACAGGGTGTACACTGAGCTGGAGGGTTACCGCACTGCCCCTCCACTCTCTGAGCATGGGAGAGCTGGATGCATGGGCTGTTACCATGAGTCTCTGGTCCTGTTGCTTCACGGTGTCTTGCATTGCGCTTTCCAGCTGGCTGCACAGAGAATGTGCTTCAGCTACCAGGTCTTCACTGAAGGAAATAAGCCAACTGTTAGAGGGTGGGCATTACTGTTGGCCAGGACTAGTGCTGCCACTTTCAAATAGGCTAGAGAGATTTTGACAACAATTTAAAAAATGCAGTCACAATTTTTTGACCCTGGCTGTCTGCAACCAACAAGGCACTGGCTGGAGACTTCACCTGTCTCCTTAAGCACCTGTCAGAAGCCCAAGCAGCCATGGCACCCCTGTCCAACAAATAAAGCAGCACACAGACCTCCAACAGAAAGTAAAAAGGAAAACAGCTCTTTCTGATCTGCTATGTACAATTCGCCTCTCTCCAAACTGCCAGATCTTTACAAAGGTATCTCCCAAATCTCTTGGTTTCTAAATTTTCAAAGGGTAAAAAAAGGCACTGGGATCTGACTTTATCCGAGCTGATCTCTTCTGTGGGATGGAAGGCACGTTCCCTGTGAGGAATGGGCTACAGTGGGAAGAGGGAGAATGCACTCAATCACGAGTCCTTTTCCGACGCTCAGCTCTGCTCTGGGGACTCTCCCTGCTCAACACTTGCTGGCAACTCCTTTCTCTCTGTGAAACATCGGGTTCAGAGGGCCCCAGAGCACATCTGCTGAGCCCCATCCACAGGCCCCAGCCCAGGGCCAGCTCCAGGGGGCCACAGCAGAGGTGTGTGAGTGGCAGCAGCTCACAGGAGGCCGACGAGATTAAGCATCTGTGGCCACACTGGGCGGGCATTTGGCACAGGGCTAAAGATGACTCTAGGGACACCTGTGGTTATGGGTATCTGAGGTGTGAACCAGTGGGGAGGATATCTGACTGTCAAAAAAAATGGTCAGACATGATTAAGGTCCAAAACAACTATCCTGAATTTAGTGCTTTTGGCAAAACCATGCAAATCACCATATATAGTTTCAGAATACTTTCATCTTCCCTGAAAGAAACTTTAAACATATTCTGTCAGTCACTTCCGGTGCTCCCTCTCCACTTCATTCATCTGCTTTCTACACCTGGAGATTTGCCTGTAAGAATTGACTTTAACTGTCTCCAGCATCCAGTGCCTGGCTTAACAAAAGATGCTGAACAAGGCCCTCGAGTGGAAACAGAAGACAACACATGGTAGGAACAGAGTGCTCGGTACGTGCCAAGGCTTTGAATGGAGTGGGCGAAGGGCCTAGCACACACTGCTTTACAGCATTTGTGGGAAATGGGATCAAAAGGTGAGTTTGGCTTTATACCTAAAAATACGCTGAAATCCATGCATATAAGGAGTTATCAAAAACTTCCTGAAAACGCACATTATGAAAAAAAATTTATGGATTTCAACACTTCCCATGCCAAAATACACTCTAAACTCTTTTCCTTGTCTTTAACATAGGGCAGCATAGGCACCATCAGCCTCTTGCTGTCCCCACTTTCCGGGTGTGCCCGCTCTTCATAGGCCTTACCTCTTCTTGGCTGACTCGGGTAAGCTGTCCGAAGCAGGGGAAGGCTGAGACAGGAGCTGCCCGGGGTTACTCAGTCGAGAAGCATTCATGCTGTCTGGGCTCCCGCTGACAGGACCACGGACCTTGCTCTGGGGACAGAGCCGAGAGCAAAGCCAGGTGAAGAGCTCTGTGCTGAGACCACAGCGTCCTTTCACGAGTTAAGTGCTCCCCAGGACCCCGGCTACTCTCATCACCGTGTCCTCTCATGAGGTTAGCGCTGCCCACACCCCAGCTACTCCTGACCACATGACCAAGGCATCCTCACATGAGGTAAACGCTGCCTACACCACCCGGGGTTCCTCGCGACCACAGTGTTGTCTCATGAGCTTAGCGTAGCCCGGCACACCAGCTACTCCTGACCAGGGTGTCCTCATGAGGTAAGCGTCGCCCAGCACCCAGGCTTCTCCCACAGGCCTGTTCCCATGCTGTGAGCTCTCCGCATCAGTTTCTGTGTTAACACTAGCACTTGGTGGAGGAGGATCCTAAACATGGGGGGGTGGAGTACTGCTTCTGGGTTTTGCTTCATTCGCTGATTCCCAGGGAAATTGTACACGTCTTTGCCAAGGCTAAGATATTTGCAAGGTCCCGAGGTTCCTGGGAGAAAAAAGTACAGGTGTCTGTCTCCCAGGGCCGTCTCCCTACGACACAACCTCAGGTTACCTCTTCGCTGGAGCGTGGGCACCCTGCAACTCACCCCCACAGCCCAGCCCCAGAGAGGTGGAGCTCTCCTATGGCACATCTTCCCCTGTATGCTGACCTCATGGCACACATTTGCCCCAGCCATTTGATCACTTGATTCGCCCTCTGGCTCTGCCTTCCCCATGGATGTTTCCCTGGGGAGAAACTCAGCTGTCTATCCTGTCTACTGGAGACTGAGCCAAGTGAGGGGCTGCCTGGAGCTGAGGGTGGTGACTTCCATGAAGCGAAAATGGGACCCTCTCCTTTCTGTAGTTAAAGATGACGTGTTTTGTAAACGAGGGCCTGCTGCCTGAACCCCATCCCTCTTGGCTCCTCCCCAGGACAGATGGCCTTTCCCCAGCACTGCTCAGCCGCTCACCCCGGCCCAGTGCTCCATGCCACATGCTCCCTCTTCAGCAGACATGGCCCACTTGCCAACCCTTCCTGCCGCCCCCACCTCCAAAGCTGCAACCACAGTCCTGCCTTGGGCCACGGTGCTCCTGTGCCTGCCAGAGCTGCTGGCCGCCCTTCTCTCCTGCACCTGCAGTTCCCATCACACTGATTGATGGGCATGTGGCCAGCACTGAATGGTCCGTGTGTGAATGCAGGTGGCAGGTCAAACCATCACCTGTGCAGGCCTCAACTTTCCTTTCCTTCTCAGATGCCCACTTTTTCATGTTTCTTACAGGAGGAAATGTCACCTCCCTGCTCCAAGCAAGCCCACTGCTCACACTATGACACTTATGCGCCTTGAGCATCACTCTTCTGGCTATATAACCTACATGGACTGAACGCTCCTTCTACTTGGCCTACAGATACTCCCTGATTTCCAGGATCTTTAGAACCACCATCCCTGCAGCCAGCTGTCTCCCTCTCCTCCCTGAGGCCGTGCAAGGCTGCTGCCAAGCCCCTGGGCCTCGCCACCCTCGCCTGCTTCCCTGCAGCCTTGCATGACATGGCTCACTCTGCCTCAGGTCTGTATTCCAGGACAAAAACAATTACAGTGAGGATCCAAGATGAGCTCACCGGGACCCATACTCTTCTAAGAGACCCAGAGGGAGACACTGAGCCCCATGGGCGCACAAACATCAAAGTTAAGCTGCCAAGGCAGGCCTGCACCCCCAGAGACTAAAGGAGGCAAGAGCTTGCCAAGGAGGCCAGCCCTGGCTCGGGAGGCCCCAGGCATCCACTTGGCTTGGGGCTGCTCACAGTGAGGTCATTCCCTACAGTGAGGGAAGCCCTGCAGGTGAGAGCGCAACTGGCACAGCCCTTTCTCCAACCTCCTGGCTTGCCCTCAGAGCTGCACAGTAAAGTCGCAGAGCAGCTGCTGAGAGGTCTGTGGGTGGCTCTAGGACTTCCCCATGGGACAGGGGTATGGTTGGCAAGAAGCAGGACCACTCACACACGCAATCTTCAGGAGGTTCCACAGCTCCTTCTGCCGCTTCTCCTGCAGCCGCACCACGGTCTTCTCATCCTCACTCATCAAGCTCACCACCTCTTCCACCTTGGGCAGCAACTCCAGGGCCTTCTGCTTGCAGACCACGGTTTTGCTGTAAAGAGCAGGACAAAGCTCCGTGGTGCTGGGCCGCAGGGAATGAAACAGAAGCTCTGGGCAACAGGAAGATCATGAACAGCTGCCAAAGGCACAGATGGGCAGAGATGGGTCTGCCCCATGCCCGGCCGGACGACAGGGTGGGCCATACCTGAGCTGCGTATAAATCACTCGCACTTTCTTCTCAAAGCCCTGGATGGCCTGCAGCAGCAGCCGCACCATTTCCTGACTGTCCCCATCTGTGCGCTGGTCTGAGGGCAGGAAGACAAGGCACAGTTCTCTGGGCAGCCAGAGCAGAGCCCCAGTCTCTCACCATCAGAGACAGATGCTGCCCAGGACAATCGGGGAGCCCCACTCACCTCGTGGCTTTTCCCTCAGCCGCCTGTAAAGCTCCCTTGCTTGTTCCTCTCTGAAATGTCAAAGAAACTCCATTGAGATGCCAGGTCAACGACATACTCCTGCTCATTCTTTCTGCATGAATACTGACTAGCAAGGGGCCGTCTCTGTTGTGCTTTGTTTAGGAGAGGCAGAAGGGGTGGGGAACGTCCGGCTTGTGGGCTGTACAAGGTCCATAGACTCATCCACTCTGCTCTGTCACGGGTTACCAATGTTGCTATCAATGTCCAAATGTCCTCTGGCAGCAAAAAGATTCTCCCAGTCCTGGAGGTGAGGGAGAGCACAATCTCCCCTCTGTTGGCCCACCCTCCAACTGCCCACCATGGCCAAGGCTAGGCTGAAGCTGGAAATGCAGCCATGTTTTCCCACAAAGATGCCAGGGACCCAGTGACTGAAGCTATCATGGCTGCCTCTAAGGGTCTGCATTGGTAGGAGGCTGGTGGTGTGGCTGGAGCCAGAAGCACATCTAGGTACCGGATTCTGGATTGGAAAGGACTGCCATTTCTGGTGAGGTCACGACACCTCCACATCTTAGACACCTCCAAGGTGTGAGGGAATCTCGAGGCAGAGAGCTTCTCCATCTTCTAGAGTCCTTTCCTGACCTGAGCTCTCCACAGAACCCCAGATGCCAGCTCCGGGCTGTAGCTCAGGAACACGCTTTCCCTGGATCACTGGCCCCAGGGTGGACCAGCATCCCACTCCTGTCCTTATCCAAGCTGAAACTGGATGCCACTTCCAAAAGGAAACGTTCTTCTGAAAACCAGAACTGAATCAGGACTGATAGTCTGAGGAAATACAGGACAAATAACTCAAGTGTCCAGGGTTCAGATGTCTTGTCCTGGTAACCTAAGCACTGGGAATGATGCTGCTCCTATCTGCCCGGCGCCCTCTGATCGCACCCAGGGATCCCCATGTCAGTTCCCTCATGAAAGCTGGCATTCCTGCACCTCCCCACGCCAAGGCTGAATGCCGGACACACACACCCAAATGTACAGCTCCGAGGCCTGCCTCCTCTGTTCTGTGCACTGCTCACAAGACCACGCTGTGTGAGTGAGCCAGGACAAACCATGCTGGATGTGCTGTGTGACATCACAGGGCCCGCATGGTTACTTAGCAACTTGGAATCTACAGTGAGTGCCTAGCTCATCCCCCACACCTGGAACCCCACTGCCCAGGGCCCTACTAAGTCTCGTCTGGTGACCCTGTCCCTCAGGAAAGGTGGTGGTAGGCTATGTGTGTGGTCTCACTGACACAACATGCTCCATGCTTTTCTGACCCCCAGAGAAGATGTAGATGGCTGTGTGCCAACTGGGTCTCATCCAGCATGCCCCTTGTTTCCCTGACCCCCCCAGGGAAGGTGGGATTGTGCAGGTCTCACTCACAGATCAATCCAGCATGCCCTCTGCTTTCCTGACCCCAAGGAAAGGTGTAGGGGGCTGTGTGCTGTGCAAGTCTTACTCACAGGTCATCCAGCGTGCCCCCCTGCTTCCGGCCCATGGGGCTCCTCTGCAGGTCCACGATGTCGGTCTGCAGGGCCATCATCCGCTCCACTAGAATTTTCACTTCATTCTCCTGATGAGAAAAGCTGTGCTGATGTCAACTGACGTAACCTGAGCCACTTGGGATGCAAGCTCGCTGGGGGCAGCCAGGACAGGGCCCTCAGAACACAAGGAAGACTCTACCAGCTGGCTGAACAGAACACAGACTCCACAGTCAGTGACCAGGGTCCAGCCTCGGCCTACCCCTTTCTAGCTATGTGACCTATGCACAAGTTAACTCCCAACTGCAGCCTCCTCATCCCTAAAACACACAGCTACTGGGGCCACAAGAGCGGAGAGGCCAGGCACAGCTCCCTGCATCTAGAGGCGGCTGAACACACGTGACATTTTCTTCTCTGATCTGTTCCCCCATGTGGGGAGGCCTGGACCCCTTTGTTCATGCAGGAAGGTTATGAGGGCCATGACAGCATGAAATAAAGTACCATCTGGGTAATATCCACCCATGGGTATGGAGTCCTGAAAGCAGGTACCAAGTCACCCCAGAGCCCAGGGTCTTGCAAGCTGTGCCAGGTTTCACTTGCCACAGTGCCTTACCCTTCTGCAGCCTGATTTACACTTTCAGGAGAAAGCTCCTGACTGGCTACACAACAAGTCTAGGCCTTCCACTAAGGGCACTCGATGCTCCATTCCTGAGTTAAACCTACAGCAGCTCTACCCACCCCCAGGGCTCCCTTCACTGGCTACTTGATGCCTTCCAGCAAGTCTGATTAGGGTCAAAGAACAAGGCAAGGAAAACTCAATTTCTGCCATAGGAGGTCAACCTGGCACTCGATGGGAAAGCGCAGGAAGGAAGAGGTAAGCCACACCCCCTTGGTAACCCAGGCCCCTGAGGGAGTCTCCTACCCGGCCACACTGCTCCACGGCCTGTTCCATCTCCCTCCAGGCCAGCAGCAGCTTATCTGATGCTGAGTAAAAAAAAGAAGAAGAAAAGAAAGTGAAAATAAGTAAAAACAAAACAAAAACACCATTAAATCAAAACCAAAACAAGTGACTCTATTATTACAGGGCAAAAGGAGTCTCATAAAGAGAAACAGCCCAGAAGAGTCCCTATAAATGCTGCAAACAACACACTCACTGATTCCAAACTCGGTTTGTTCACTATACTTTTCCAGGTCGATCTGGATACTGGTTTTAAAGAAATCCAACTTGGCCTTGAGCTGCTGAGATATGGAAGCCATGGAATTCTTCATCTTGGAAAGGCAGCTGTTGTTACGTAAGAGATTCATCCTGCAGGGACAGCAGGAAACATATTGAAGCACCTCTGGGACCCAAACGCCATCTCCCTGCCCAGTCACAGCCCCTCAGGCATCAAGGGAGGTGCCTGCAGTGACAACTGCTGTTGTTGTTACCGTAGCTGCTTGAAACCACACACTTTCCTCAGGGGGTCCGGCGGGTCCCACACAAAGGGATCCAAGTGCAGTTCAAATGAGCTATAACTATGCAAGGGGGTAAGTCTCACACCTGATAACTGGGGGAGCTTTGCTAGCCCACCTACAACAAGTTCTGTATGTTCCAACTTCTGCCCGCCCCTCTGTAGTGAACCAGCCTGGCCCTCAGGGCTGCCCTCAGGCTCCATGTGCCAATCACAGGTACCTCATCAGGTCTAGAAGGCTTTCAGCCCAGCCAATGCTACATGCCCACCCCAGCCAGTGTCTCCACCAAGTCTCTGGGGGGGCTGCTCCTGGGTCCCTGTCTCGGGCACCTGTCTGCAGCCAATGCTGCCCTACTACTTGAACCACATTAGCCCAGAGAATGCCTGGCAACATACATGGCAGCTCGTTGTCCCTGCTGCAGCCGGTTGCAGTCCTCCTTCAGGGTCTGGATGCTGTGCCAGACCTGGCCCCACACTTTCCTCAGCTGGAAAAAAGGGAGATTCCTCTTGGGCTCCTGAACTGGAAACAGAGACATAGGCCACCGTGAGCCATATTCAGCTTCACCACATCCCGGGCTCTTTCATATTTAGAGAAATTATGTAACCACTTTCCTGTTACGTAACTCAGTGTGGCGCCTGCTTTCTGGCCCACACCTCCGAGGTGCCTCTTGCAGCCTGAGTATGTGTCAGCTGCTGGTCTGGCCCGAGGGAACGTGTTGGGAACCCTCGGAGATTCCTTCTCAGGCACGAGCGTCCACTTGCTTTCACCAGAAGCTCTTCTGTTCGTACATTTATGGTCAGAAAGTTTTATAGAACTCATTGGCTGGGGGATGGAGACGGGGCCAACTTACTTCTCAATGTCTATTCATTCTTTTGTACTTGTTGGTTTGGGTGTTTTTGGTTTTGGTCTCTTGAACAAATATGCAGCTTAAACGGTCCTGAGTTTAAGGCTCTAATCAGGAGGTGGGAATTGACTGATTAACCACAGCTACAGCCTGCACATCCTAACAGAAAGAAGGACGTGCCGGGTGCTGGACAGACCAATCATCCTGATGCTGCCCCTCCCACCCATGCATCTCCTTTCTGGCCTGTCCCAAGTGCAGTAACTGATCATGTGATGAGGAAATGCTGTTCTTACGGATACAGCTGACGCTTTCAGGTTGAGGACGTGGTGAGATCTGAGTCTCATAGGTGATTCTGCTGTTGTCGAAGAGAAAAACAAGATCCATGTCCAGCGTGCGGCCCTCGTTGAGCTGCAAAAAGACAAGAATAAAGTGAGGTCTCCCAGCCCCAAACCCTTCCTCCCTCCTGCTACTGACATCAAGACTGCATCTCGGGAGCACTTTCCACTGCTCCCTGGGGCACCCTTTTCAGCTGGCATGGACGACGCCTCCCAGGAGCCTCATCCAACACCAGCCTACACTCATGATCTAAGAAGCTTACCATAGCATGTGACCTTGTCTGGTGGGATTCCCTGGCAATCTGCAAACCCACTACATACCACCATATGCAACACTTGTTTCTCACATGTTGTTTGACAGGAGAGGGCAGGGTAGAGGGAACAAGACAGCAAGCTCTGTGGTTCACTTCCCCAATGTCCACAACAGCTGGGACTGGGCTGGGCTGGGTCAGAGCTGGGGTCCTGGAACTCAATTCAGACTTCCTACACGGGTGGCAGAAATTTGACCACTTGAACCACTCATTGCTGGCTTCCACAAAGCAGGAAGTTGGAATTGGAGTCATAGCTGTGACTTAAACTCAGGCACTCAAAAATGGGACACAGGTATTTTGAAGAGGGCTCTCCCATGCTTACTCCATCTCCATAAATTGGCCTGAGGGGCCTGCACCTTCCACTGTTGGGGTTAACACAAGTGTGACATACAGCCTTGTACACAGAGGTGATGCTAGACAGTTTTGACAGACTCAGGAGACTCATTGAGCATTTCTTTGATAAAAATGGCAAAGAAAGCTTCTCTGAACGGTTTGGAAGCAACAGGTCAAGCACAAAGAGATTTGTGTCTTCTATCCCACACAGGGGATCCAAACTCCAACTTACAACAAAAATATACAATATGCTGGCATATAAACTGTGAGATTAGGCTAGCAGGCTCATGACAGCAGCTGCACTCTGAAGGTGGGGTTCAGGGTGGGGGTTCACCTTGCCATCTGAGATACACTGAGTGGCAGGCTTGTCGGGGATCAATGCCAGGCCTGCCTCCTGCAGGAGCTCCTGGTCCTTTTCTGGGATTCCGGTGTCCTGCTGGATTCTGGCCTTCAAGCTCTGCAAGCTCTCGTCCTCGGAAACTGGATAGCTGTGAATGGTGCCCGTGACCATGTTCAAGATGTGAACCAGCTGCAAGAAGACCCAGATGTTACTGGACAAAACTTGCTCTTGACAGATGTTCACCTGTCTACCTCAATTCTCTGCTGCCCTCAACATGACCCAGCACACAAGATGCAGGCCATCGCAAGGAAGGGAAGCCAAAGGTCCTGTTTTTTACTCTGCCTGTCTGACATTCCTGTTTGTTCATGGCATTAACCACACAGCCAATGGCCCTCAGCACCGCCGTGCCGCCTCCCCCTGAACCCCATCATGGGAACCTGATGGCCCCTGTTGATCGGGCTGGCCATAACCTGCCTTGCTCAATGCACTTCACTTTCACCACAGCTACTGTGTCCCACTGAAGACTCTAGCCGTTGCCTGTGGGCTAACGTGGCTCTATGCTTACCTTTAAGTTTAAGATGTCATCCAGGGCCTTGAAGCAACCGTTGGGCCCATACGTGGGATCTGTGCCCCTCTGCCGGGGATGCCACATCAGCATCAGCTGCAGCCACTTCTCCAGGCGCTGGACTAGAATGCTGAATGGGGTAAGAGTGTTGGGAGAGAGCCACAGCCAAGCTCAACTGCTCTGTATGCCAGCCGAAAACTGTAAGCCTGGAGCAGGCCCAGGCCTGGAGAGAAAGACGCCTGTGGCCCATATCAGGCGGCTTGGCCTGGGTTCCTGACTCCGATTCACATCTCATTTCCTACCAGTGCACACCCCAGGAGGCAGCCATGGGAGCTCCAATACTTGGGCCCCTGACATTCATGTGGCAGATCTGGACTGAGTTTCCAGTTACTGGCCGCTGCAATCATTTGGGGAGTGCACCAGAGGACGCAGCCTCACTCTCTCAAATATGCAAAAAAAAAAACAAAACAAACAAGCAAACAAAAACCCCCAAAACAGTACAAGCCTGTGTGAAACTTACTACTATGCACATAAGCAGCAGCCAATAACAATCACTAAAATGTTATGAATTTATCTAGGGGCAAACAAACAAACATTTCCAAGCAACTTAACTACTTCCCTCTCCTCTGCCCTGCTAACTCAGCCCCTAACTTCACATTTCCAGCCTATGGATCCCCAGTCTCATTTCTAAAACATCCCTCAGAAGAGACCTGCTTCCAGATGAGCCCCACACTCACCCTAGTCCTGAACTTCTGAAGCATGTGGACACTCACAAGACAGGCCTACACTCCTCCCCCGGCCTCAGGCCCTCCACAACTGCCCCCTAATATGCACTCAAACCCCATTTGTTCACTCCATCTCTCCCTCTGGCCCACCTTCACCCTGGCTCTTGACCAGCAGTGTCCCTCAGCAACTTGCTGCAGGACACCACAGGTCTGTCCACACAGCTCTGCAGATATTCCCCTGGCCTGTCCACTATACTCTCAGCCACCTGTCACTGCCCCTTCTGACGTCAGTCACTAACTGTTCACAATCTGACTCCTGAGACAGACCGTAATGCCACCCCAACAGCCCAGACTACTGACTGAGACACACAGTATCAGGCCAGATGAGCACAAAGAAGAATAAGATCCAAGTCCTCACCTTTAAAGGAATTATCATTGAACAGAATATAAACCTAGTGCAAACCAAATGGAATACAAGGTAGAAGCTACTAAAGGTATTAAGAAGCTCTTACATGAATTTAGAAAACAGGATTTATAGGCAGATAAGGGGAAATACGTCCTAAATTCAAAGTCAGATGGATGATGCCAAATTTTTAGTCACAAGTTGATACCCTGACAATCTGTTTTAAAATTATCAGGGATGGGAGTCTGGTATAGATGCCACTTTCCAGGGCCCAGTGTGATGGCTCTACTAGCTAATCCTTGCCTTGCAAGCACCGGCATCCCATATGGGCACTGGTTTGTATCCTGGCTGCTCCACTTCCCATCCAGCTCCCTGCTTGTGGTCTGGGAAAACAGTAGAGGATGGGCCCAAAACCTTGGGACCCTGGACCCCTGTGAAAGACAAGGAAGAAGCTCCTGATTGTTGACTTTAATAGACTCAGCTCCAGTCATTGTGGCCACTTGAGGAGTGAACCAGAGGTTGGAAGATCTTTCTCTCTGTAAATTACCTTTCCAATAAAAGTAAATAAATCTTAAAAAAAAAAGAGGATGCCACTTTCCATCCAGCTTCCTGCTAAATGCATATCCCAGGAGGAAAATGATGATGGTCCAAGTCCTGGAGTCCCTGCCATGCACCTGGGAGACAAGGATGCATTTCTGATCTCCCAGCTTTGCACTGGCCCCGTCCTCACAATCCTCCATCTGCTCATCTGGGGAGTAAATCAGAAGACAGAAGATCTCCCATCTGTTGCCCTCCACTTTTCCAATGCAGATAAATGCTTTTTTTAAAAAAAAGTTTTCAGACATCACTTCAGATTTGTATTTCTAAAAGGAGAAAAAAAAAATACATACAGTAATTACACTGTATTTTACCTGTTAAGATTGTTGGGGTAGGGTAAGGAGCTTGAAAACTTCACCATGCCGTTCAAGTCTTCACTAACCACAATGTCCATCTCACTCTTCTGCCGGACTTTGGAATGCCTGCAATGCACAGTGGCTCACGTTGGTTTACATGGCTAAATTTTAACGACACAAGAGACATGCAGTGCATCCATAGTCCTTTGAAACAGGGGTTAGCACTGCCTCAACAAGTCTGCAAGTCTTCAGTGGGGCTCTTAACCATCTCATACCCCAAGCTCTGCGGACAGGACTCTTGCCTCTCCACTTTCTTCCGGGCTTCCTTTTCATTTCCTCTACTTTTTGTCTTACTTAATTCAAACAAAATCAGGTGTGGACAGAAGAACCCAGACATCATCCGAAGGAAGACAAAACTGGACAAAACCCAACTGGCCCCCTATTTTCCTGGTGACAAGAGTAGCTTCAATTTGAACAACACTCAGGACAACCAAGGACTTGTTACAGAACATTCACCTAGATGCTGGGCTGAGTCCCTCATTTGGTGGTAGGGAATTGAAGATTGGGGAGTCTGCAAAGCCACACAACCAGAGCAGGGTAGAACTGGGACCTTGAGCCAGGGTCTGGTGGTCTTTCACTCTATCCAAACACATGTCATCCCCAAACATTTGGGAATTCCAATAAAAGAAACGCCTTTGCTGGAAGCTGTTCTCATTGGCAAGTAGTAGGTGGGCCCACAGGAAGACATGGAGGAGCTGGGGTGGCAGAGATCTTGGCACCCAGGCCTGGGTGAAGCTTTCCATGCTCCCGGGGACACAGCGTGTACTACCTGTGCAGAAGCCAAACCAACTACACACACAGCCAAATCCTCCATCTGTTCATTCCAACTGTAGCTGTGCAAGAATTTCTCTTCAAGCAAAGGATATTTTAAGAAGGAAAAATTGCTGTTAAATTTTAAGGAGTAAAAATTATAAAGTATCCCATTCTTCCAATAACAGAGTAAGTGAAATGAGTCATAGCCTTTTAGTGGTGTACTCAACAGGTATTACAAATAACAGGAAACCACAGAGCATTTCCAACATTAAGATTGAAAACAGGTTCCAGGATCTGGTGCGATGGCTCAGTAGCAAAATCCTTGCCTCGCATGTGTCAGGATCCCACATGGGTGCCAGTTTGTGTCCTATCTGCTCTATTTCTCATCTAGCTCTCTGCTTGTGGCTTGGGAAAACAGCAGAGGTTGGTCCAAGTCCTTGGGACCCTGTGTGGGAGACAGAAGCTCCTTGCTTCTAGCTTTGATTTGGCTTAGCTATGGCCACTTGGGGGTGAACTAGTGGACTGAAGACCTCTCTTTCCTTCTCTCTGTAAATCTGCTTTTCAAATAAAACTAAATAAATCTTTTAAAAAGCTGTGTAATTTATCTTCTTTATAAAGTATCCACATATCCAATGTGAGTGATACGAGTATTCCAGCACTAGCCACTCAGGGTGAGATTCAGCTCTCTGCCAATGCTCCTGGGAAGGCTGTGAAGACAGTGCGTGTGCACAGGTCCCTCCTTCCTCCACAGGAGAAGCAGACAGGAGTAGCTGCTCCTGGCTTCAGCCTGGCCCAACCCCTAGGTATTGTAGCCATGTGGGTAGTGAACCAGTGGATGGAAGATCTGTTTGACTCTCCTCCTATCTCTGTCCTTCAAACGAATCAATCTTGATACTCCACAGATAGTCCTGGAGATGGGCATGTTGATAAAGACTGTTTGCAGGATGTATAATTATACTTGATTCTTATTATAATCTCCATATTTTCCAAAACAAAGTTACTCTGGTTTAAAACAAAAAACTTGAGGTAATCAAATTGTATTGCACCATTTCAACTCAACACAAGGGTATTCTCACAATAGCCAACACTCTGAAATTACACGCAGGACAGAGTTCGTGTCATGTTACTGCTTGTTTAAAGAAGGTAGGAACACTGATCAAACAGGGCCATTCGCTTGGGTGTGTAAAATGCATCCAAGCAGGCTTCTTATGAAAATCAGTGGCATCAGGTGCCTGTGAGGAAGGAAGACAGGTGGCCAAGAGGCTGGTGTGAGCTGACTTCACTATATGGTCTTTCACATTATTTGAAGCATAAACCATGTAACTCATTACTACTACAAGAAAAAAAAAAAAAGGAAAGAAGGAAAAGAGAAGGAAGGAAGAAAACTTAAAAAGTCTTGAGCCACAGTAGTATCATTTGAATGAATGTATAGTCTCCCAAGAAATAATTCTAAATGAACTCTGATTTAAGAGAACACTAATTTTTAAATTATGCATTTCACTAAAGATTAACCTTTGCTATCCCCCCATGGGACACTTTTCTCAACCTAAAAACCGTACACGTTTACCATCCACATCAAGAGGTTTTGAAATACAGATACACTGTGAAGCCAACTGACAGGTGCATTTTATTAACATGTGCACTGTATCACATTTTTGTGGGGATGCCCAACTTCTATATATTTCTTAAATAATGTATTACTTTTATCAACAGGTTATTTTTTTTTAACTGCTTAATACAATCTTTAGAAGTTTACATGTATCCTCCAAGAATCTCTTTAAAATTGTAACTTAATTTTTAAGACATTTTATTCTAGTAAAACTTGTCAGTGCTAAGTTTTAGGGCCAAGCCACTTGGGCCCAAGTCCCAAGCACCCAGCAGGAGAGGACAAAGCGCCGGCCCGCACTCACCACTGCACAGGCTGCCAGTTTGGGAGGAAGGGCCGGAAGCCGGTGATGCATTCGAAGGCCAAGGTGCCGAAGCTCCAGTAATCCACGGTCACCGTGTACTTCTGCTGCTCCAGCAGCTCGGGCGCCTACAGTGACAGATGCCACATGGGGCACAGCTTAGCAGCCCCTCTTCTGAGGGCTGCAGCAGAAAGGGTGCCTGGCTCCCACTGCCCATACCTGTTCTGGACATGTGCATAGGACAGCCAAGAGGTCAGGCGCTAGGATAATTTTTAAGGGTGTCAAAGTGCCTCACACACTCCACTGTGCTTTCAGTTCCCTCTTTCCACCTGTGGGCCTCAGCCCTGCAGGGACTTACTGAAAACTAGCTCAGGTTGGGCCCTAGCTATAGATGGGCATGTGGAACAAAGGAAACATGAACACCACACGCATGTGGTACGGCACCTGCTTTCCATGTGCCAGACACCCAGCACATGTGCCATATGCATCACATGTTGTATGTGGCAAACACACAGCATATTCAGTGAACAATGACCACACAATGAAAAAGGGTGGTTACACTTGGCCTGGAACTAACACCCATGCAAGACAGATGGGGGGCCCAGGACAGGTGATGAAACACAGCGAGGCTGAAGCTGGGCTCAGAAAGCTCCTCACACAAGGATACTCCAGAAAGGCTGTCACAGTAAGGTCATGGAGACAGGCCTGAGCACACTGGCTGGAACCGCGACACTCATGGAGGGACTAGAGGCCAGTGGGAAATCCACGGATGCTCAAGCCAATCTGTGTGTTTGGCCACGCACAAACAGCTGAACTAAGGCCTACGAGCACTGACTCCACACTGGGTCAGAGTGTGGGCTCTGCCACTCAGCAGGCCCTCCTGAGGCCCAGGTGCCCAGGTGCCCGAGCAACAGTCACCACACTCATTAGTCCCTCTATTCTATAGAGGAGCCTGTACCCTATAGTGGGTAGACTGACACTCGGAAAGGCTTCAGTAACATTGCATCCCAGACACAGATGGGATAAATTCAATCTTTTTGTCAGCCTCATTCTGGAGTTATAGCTACCACAATAAGCAATTTTATTAGCGAGTCTTGCTGGGCGCCTGTGGTAAGCACATCTTGAATCATCCTACCCTGAGGCGCACCCAAAATCCCTTTTTCGTTGCCAATTCACCCTCTACAGTGCATGAAGAATGAGCTCTTATAGCAAGAAAGCAGGCACTGACCTGACCTGGGAAAGGGAGGTACAAAATCCCAGTGTGAGGAAGGATGGAGGCATACAGGGAGCCTGCTTCAGCTCCAGCATGAAACCCTCCATCGTGCTCCAGGCGATTTAGGAGAACAAGGCTAACCCTCTACCCAGCTACAAATACCGGAAGAGGGGATCAGTGTCACTGTCCACACACCCCTCCCCACCCTGCAGACTCTACTATCTTCTGGAGGTTCCAGGTTCAGGACTTCAGCATGCTGTCCATCAACAGAGTGATGACCCAGCAACTCAGCCCTACTCACCCAGAGACCCTTCCACCCTCTCATCCTGAAGGACTCTGTCTGTCATTAAGCACTCTCACAATGCAGTCTGGTCTTCATATACACCCCCAGGGCGCAGTATGGGCTGGTCCTCACACCACAGCACCACTGCCTGCACTTTGTGTTGTAGTACTTCTTGCAACTGTCATTTTTTAGTTTCTCAAGTGAATATCACAGAAGTGCCTACTTTCTCGCTGAATTCCAAGCCTGTGAAGGCCAGAGAAATGCTTTATCATGCACTGTGAACTCCAAGCACAACGTCTGGTACAAATATTGCTTCTGTGGACCTCTGAGCTGTGCTGCACTCTAATACTCAATGCAGAACACATGAAGAAAAGGTGGAATTTGCAGGCTCTCCTCTGTGACACACCTCATGGCAACTGCGATCTCTGCATACCAGCATGAAGCTATTCAACACTCTCTCTTCTATGATGCAAAACTGTGGCCCACCAGGGACACAGGGTCTGTATAAGGGACCTGGCAAAGCCCTGGAACAGCAGAGACAATGCGTGCATAGGGCACCCAAGGGTCAAACATGCTGCTTGGATGGGTTCCAGACCTGAGCTCAGCACCCAGGAGATGCACATAGGGCTGGCAGGACAAGGTGTTCCACAAACAATACCACCAGAGGGAAGCTGAGAAGCAGAGACATGCCACTTCTTACCAGGTACTGCAAGGTGCCCACAAAGGAGGTGCAAAGACTGCCCTGATCCAGTTCCTTGGCATATCCTAGGTCAATGATTTTGTGTATTAACTGGAAAAGAAAGGAGGAGGAGAAACCTGAGGATGATGAGGTTATGGTTCCCTCTACAAGGACTCTGAGCACTGGCCCTCAGGCCAAGAGCCACCAGTACCCAGGAGAACACACTCAGTGCCACAGCCCGCGCTCAGCGGGCATTCTCAGAACCAGTGCAGGGCTGGTTGCTCCGGCGGCCTCAGAAGCCAGGGCTCTCACAAGAAACACAACATCCAAGTTGCCTTCGGAGAAGTAGCAGTCCCAAAAACTGGGGGTGGAGGCTAGAACACAAACACCATTTTCCTTATCGGATTCCTGCAACTTGGGCAATGAACAATGGGGTCCATTCAAACTGGCCTCCGCCTCCAAGTAAGAACTTTCTGCTGTATTTTGATCCAAATCAAAAAGCAATCCCAGAGAAGCAAAACATGAGGCAAGGAAGCATAAATACAAACAGACATACAGAGCTGTTCCTGCCCTAGCAGCCCTAACAGCCCCGTGCTGCAGGGCTAGGGGGCACTCACTCTCTGCTCTCCTTGCTGCAGCACGATGTTTTCAGGCTTCAGGTCTCGGTGGATGATTCTGTTCTCGTGAAGGTATCTAAGTGCAGAGGCTAGGAGAGAGGAAAGAGGGTGAATCTGCAGTAAGCATCTCTTCTCCAGTGAAAGATAAACGCCACGTCCCCCTGAGCTGTGCTCTGACTTCAGTTCCTAAACTCCCAGTGGGGATAGGGGAGGGGTGGGGGAATGGAGGGCACAGAGCCTGGCCACTAGAACCTGGATTTGTCAAGCAAACAAAGGGCTTTCAGCTGGCACCCTCAGACCACCGCCCAGTCTAGAGCAGCAGGCCTGCCTGCTGGACTGCCTACTGTACCCAAGTGGTGAGCCCAGCCCAGACCTACTGAGTCAGAAACCCTGGGAGTAACTCCACAAGTTGCATAATGGCAAGGCGAGGTGCTGCGGACACCCACAAAGTGTGAGAAGGGGAACTCTTCCAAGCTAGAGGTTGAGAAATCTGAAGTCCCTGGAGTAGGCAGAGAAGAGGGCCATCTGGGCAGAGAACACTGCCACTTAGGACCTCTGATCTAACAAGCTGCACACTCCCTAAAGTACATTGGAAAGTCAAACCAAAAGAGCCAAACACTGATTTACACCTTGCAAAGGAGGGGGGGATTGCCACGTTAGAACACCAAGCTATTATGTATACAGCCAATTATGAATTTTTCTTTTTTCTGAGCAGAATAACAGGAAGGAAGACAGAGAAAGATCTTCCATCTACTGGCTCACTCCCCAAATGGCTACAACATCCAGGGGATGGGAGCCAGGAGCTTCTTCTGGGTCTCCCACATCACAAGCAGGGATCTGGATGGGAAGTGGAGCAGCTTGGATACAAACTGACACCCATATGAGATGCCGGTGCTTGCAGGCGCAAGATTAGCCAGTTGAACTATCATGTTGGCCCCCAAATTTGTATTTCTTTCTATCCTGTGAAACTTAGCCTTCGGCCAAATAGTTCCAACCATTATTCCACTGTTATTCCCTCCTTTTCTTGAAGTGACACAGAAGATTAGCCTAAGTACTAATTAATGTCTGGAGGAAGTAAAGGACCCACAGCTTTCACTGTATTTAAAACAATTCCACTCCTTCTAGGTCCAGCACAATGGCTCAGTGACTAAATCGTTACGTTGCACACATCAGGATCGCATGTGGGTGCCAGCTGTTCTACTTCCCATCCAGTTTCCTGCCTGTAGCCTAGGAAAGCAGTAGATGATAATCCAAAGCCTTGAGACCCTGCACCCACATGAGAGATCCAGGAATCTCCTGGCTTCATATTGGCTCAGCTCCAGCCATTGCATCCACTTGGGGAATGAACCAGGAGATGAAAGATTTTTCTCTCTGTTGTTCTGTCTCTGTAATTCTACCTTTCCAGTGAAAATGAATAAATCTTAAAAAAAAGTCTACTCCTTTTTATTCTTAGCTACATTCATTTTCAAAAACCAATCTTCTTTTCAGCAATTATCACTTCAAAAAAAATTTTTTTGATTAAAGAATCAAGCCTAAGAATATAACACTCTAATAGCTGACCCATACCACATTGCTGGCAGGGATGCCGTTTCTGTCACTGCTGAACTGCTGGCAGGGAGCAGGCCACGTTACAAATCTAATGTCCGTTCACTGGCAACACACTGGTATGTAACAAGCTGCTCAAAAGTACCAGGAAATGATAAATACAAGCAGACTATAGGAAAGCTAGGACTCAGTGTATTTTCTGGAAGAATCTATGCCCGGAAGCTACAAGTGAAACATTCAGGGAAGTGCCTGAAGGTACACTAAGAGTTCTCACGGGTCCTGCAGGGAGAAAGGATGGCAAGCTGCTGGCCCAGTCTTCCGCTAGTGTTCACAGATGTTTGTCTTTATGCTTAAGTACCTGTACATGGCAACTTCAACCCATGCTTTGGAGTAATCACCTACTGTCAAACAGTGCACCAACTTACTCAAGTTGGGAATTAAACAATCTGACAGGTATAGTTACACCTACTTTCTTGCATAAGTGGACTCTACATGCCTGAAAAAAATGAAGTCTGATAGGTGATATCATTTAAACTGCTGCCCAGCCAGAAAAGGAATCTTGGAGAAACTAGGCTCTGTTTGTGCTGCATTTCACAGCCCCTGAAGAGCAAATACATGAGAATGAAAACTATGCGAAGCAAGGAAAACCTCACTCAGTTACATCAGAACAATGAAATATTGAGATTTTTGCAACTGGCAGGTTGTAAGAAATCTAAGTCCCCTGGCAACAGTGATGATGTCAGATTAGAGAATCTGAAAACTACACTATAAAGCATAAAAGTCGAATTTTATTAAGTTAATTTTATTAAGTTAATTTTTCATGCTCTAATTACAGAGAAGAGTTCTGAGAAATATTTGCCCTGTTTAATTTCTTTAATTCTTTTTATTTGAAGGTCAGGGGCTGTGGGAAGCAGTTAAGAGAGAGAGAGAAGGACAGAGTCTACCATCTGCTGGTTCACTCCTTCAATGCCCACTGCAGTCTGACCTGGGCTAGACTGGAATTAGGAGCTGAGAACTCTCCCGAGTCTTCCAGAATGCTGGCAGGGACCCAAGGATCTGAGCCATCCCCAGCTGCCTCCCAGCGTGCATATTAGCGGAAAGCTAGAATTAGGAGCCCTCCGATACGGAATGTGGCCAGGCACCACAACCATCGTGCCAAACGCCTGCCCCTGTGCAAGCTTCCAAACCAAGTTCCGGCATTCCCTAGGACAGCTACGGCACAGAATCAAGGACTTGCCATGGAATAATAGCATCTTCCTGTTCCTCTCACCACGATCGGCACCCAGGTGATTAACACTTTCCCTTGGCTCATGAGGTCGACACAAATAGAAGGGCACTTTAAAAAAGTGCGCAGAAAAAGGAACAAAAATAAGTTGACTTTGGTGCAAAAAAAAAAAAATCTGTGAAATCATGCAGTTTTTTGTTTGTTTGTTCTGGTAAGATGCAATTTCCATGAGACTTTTGAAGACTTCTTATATACCTAAAGAATTTGAGACCTCGGGGCCAGTGCCATGGCCTAGCAGCTAAAGTCCCTGCCTTAAACGCACCAGGATCCCATATGGGTTCTAATCCTGGCTGCTCCACTTCCCATCTGGCTCCCTGCTTGTGGCCTGGGAAAGCAGTCAAGGATGGTCCAAAGCTTTGGGTCCCTGCACCCACGTGGGAGATCCAGAAGAAGTTCCTCGCTCCTGGCTTTGGATGGGCACAGCACACTGGTTGTTGCGGTCACTTTGCAAGTGAATCATCAGATGGAAGATCTTCCTCACTGTCTCTCCTCCTCTCTGTATATCTGATTTTGGAATAAAAATAAATAAATCTTAAAAAAAAAATTTGAGACCTCTATAGAACTTACAGATGAAGCAGAATTCCAACCACAGTCCTGTCTGTTTTTAGCTTACAAACCATCCATCAGAGAACAAACAGGAGCAGCTAGACCTCCATACCCACCGGACTTTCCCCAGTCCCATTTGCCAGCTTCAAGTCTAAAGGAATTACCAAGCCCTCTGAGAACATTCTGGTTTGCAATGCATTCCTAGGAAAATATGGAAAGATAAATGGACCAAAAAAGTTGAGAGATGAGAAGACAAAGAAAAAGCAGTCCCTAGCGGGTGGTCCACATCACCATTGGGCATGAATGGTACCAGAATGTAGGTTTCACGTGAAAAATGGACTGTGTCTAACTGCACATTAGCTACTTCTGCATCACTGGATTTCCCTGGAAAAACAAGACTGGCAGGCCATCTGTAGACACATGGAGCAAGACAGAGTCCAGCTCGACTGTTAGAGAAACCTGACGTATCAGCCACACAGCAAGGGAGCAACACTATGTGCTAAGAGGAAAGCACGAAAACCATCACTCACAGAGAAATGGCAAAGGATCTTCTGCTTGCTAGGCACTGTGGAAGCATCTTCGTCTCTGATCCCTAGGACTTGAATTTTGCAGTGGCTTTGGAAGAAATATCCTGACACATGGACACAGCGTTTAGGATGGAGACCACAATGACTAAACAACTTTTGGAAAATGATAAGATGCCATGAGAATGCCTGGCAAATGAAGGGAGATGCTACAGAGTGGCGGGCAGCTGGGTGGGCTGCAGAAGGGGAGGAGGGAGACACCACAGGAATAGGAAGTTGGAGTGTAGGCATATGCAGTCCAGGGCCAGGCAGCCCAGGGCTGTGTCACCCCCATGGTGTCAAGTATGTTCTGCACAACCTCTCCAGCTAGCTAAAGGCTGGTGTCATGGCATAGTGGATCAAGCCTCTCCCTGCAGCCCTGGCATCCCCACATCTGAGCACCAGCTCAAGTCTTAGTTACTCTGTTTCCAACCCAGCTCCCTGCTAATGCCCCTGGGGACACAGTGGAGGATGGCCCAAGCTGCCTGGGCTCCACGTGGCAGACCCACATGGAGTTCCTGGTTCCTTGTCCTCGCTATTGTCATTTGTAAAGTAAAGCAGCAGATGGAAGCTCTCTTTCTTTTTATGCTTTTCCTGGTCACTGTGCCTTTCAAACAAATAAACATTTGACAAACGAAATTGGCTAACTGAATAGTGAAGATGACAAAGGGGAACCTTAGAGGTCACTTTGAGGTCTAAAGTCGCAGACACACAGGCCAGCAAGACTTCAAGTCTTACCCAAGGGTATGGAGCTCTAAAGCAAAGAATCCAGGACAGAAAGCCAGCCATGTTCTCCTTCATTATTGAATGTATCTGGTTACTTATGCTTCCCAATATTTTATCTACAAATGATGTGAGCTCAAGCTAATCTTTTGTTAAAATCCATAGTACTGACGTATTCAGTAGAACGAGCAAGAAAATCCACTCTCAGGGAAACATTAAATCAAATATCCAACTGAACTCCCCGGTGTCCCCTGCTACCTGCTGGGAGCAACACCTACAGAGCAGAGGGGAGATCAGCTGCAGGGTATGTTTCCTGAAGGCTCAGGGAACCTCAAGGCCAGGCACCACAGTCAACGAGCCCCCTGCAGAGTCGGTTCCAATGAGGTCCTGGGTGACTGCACACGTAGGTCCTGCTTGCCCATCTGGCCTTGGCCATGACCAGGCCCCACCTTCCCCAGGCAGCAGAAAGTGCCCTGGTCTGTCCCCCGGTCCTGACTGCCTGGGAATCTGCTCTTCTGTTGTCAGAAAGACACAGCAGTGGTGCCCAAGGATCATGAGACGACAAGGAGCCAACTTCCACATGACTTCCCTGAGCTATTTTAGAGTCACGGGAAACTGAGGGCCACATCATTCCCAGCTGCCTCTACACCTGTGCCCGTGTGGCAGCAGTGCTCGAACACAGCTTGTCCTGGCCCCAGAGGCTGTGGCTCTCTCTCTCTGTGCTGCTCACGGAGCAGCATCCACTGGTTGCCTCTTACGGATGCACTAGTATCTTTCTGGACCATTTAAAATTTGCTGCAAAAACCCTACCCAGATCTGTGGCTCTTCTGTTCCTGAGGTCAGCAGCAGGAGTACAGAGGCAAAGAAACTCCAGAACAGGGACCAAGGGAGTGGCCCTGCCAGTTATCTCAAGTCAACCTGGCACAGAAAGGCAACCACAACTTCAACAAAGGGACAAACTGGAACAAAACATGCTCCGGAAACGTTTCGTAACACAAAGGAGTGAGGTTAGAGGAGCCCATGAAAAGCTTTTGAACTCTGACTCGGTCACACGAGGTTCTTGCCGAAGAAATAAATAGGACAACTCTTAGACAGCAACTAAAATATGGGAATAAAAGTAGCACACACGCTTATCAGCAAGTGCCAGTCTGCAGACACAAAAAAAATTGGGGGATATGACTGCATCCAAAAGGCTGTGAGACGGGAACAGAGACCTCACAAGTCAACCACTTGTCTGGTGCCCGGAACCAACCTCAGGTCATACCCCAAATGGGCCGAGGGAAAGGAAATGAGAAAGGGATTAACATGTGCTGACTGTTTTTCACTCCACTAGGCACAAGACTGCGCTAAAGGCTTTATGTCCGCCACCTCATTTCATCCTCCTGGCAATCCTAGTGAGGTGACTCATGTCCCTACTTCACAGCTACAAATGCAACGGATGTTCCAAAACATCACGTCCCATCTCTCAGGTCAGACTGCCGGTGAGGGCAAGAGCTGGCTTTTGACCTGCACATGTCGACTGCACGGGGCACCTGGTTCTGCATCTCACAGGGGAGCATCCAGGCTGGACTCCACTCTGGCTCCTTTTATCCAGTTTCCTGTTCATGCCGACAGACCCCTGGCAGGCAGTGGAGGTGGATCCCTGCCACTCTCAATGGGAGAACTAAACTGAGTCCCTGACATCTGGCTTTGGCCTGGCCTGACCTCGATCACTACAGACATTTAAAGTGTGAACTGGAGGGTGCGAGTTCTCTCTGCCACTAAAATAAATACAGAAAAAAGAGGGGAAAAGGAAGTTTAATTCTAGCACACCAGTACTTCAAAACTGAATCATTTCCAACACAAGCACAGAGAGCAGACAGAAAGGCTGACTTAGACTGAATATTCAGGGCGCATGCTGTGATGCGGTAGGTTAAGACCACCACTTGGGATGCCTGTGTCCCAGCTCCTGTGCTCCCCACCCAGAGTCCCCAGAGGGAGCGCCTGATCCCTGCCACTCACACGGGACACCCACATGCAGCTCCTGGCACTCTGGCCTGGCCCAGTGCTACCTTAGCTAGCTGGGGAGTGAGCCAACAAATGAAGCTCTCCCCTCCCCAACTCTTTCTCCATTTATGTTGCTCTGCCGTTCAAGTAGATGAAAGTATTTTTTTAAATACTTCATTTAAAAAGTACTTGAATACTCATCCACCTATAGAAAGAAGAGCTGTTCCATCAAAGTACACAAGAGCTCATATGCCTTCATTAGTCTGATTTATATACAAACTGCACACACACACTTTGAATCAATCTAAAGTTACCATACAAGTCAACAGTAACTGCATTCAAAATGCACTCAGCGTAGCGGAGGGTGCCTCGGCCAGCAGCTAGGCTACTGTGTGGGACCCCACATCCCATCTCAAACACGCCTTGGTCCAAGCTCTGGTGCTGCAGATGCCTCCAGCTGCCTGGTAACGCGGATCCTGGGAGGTGGCAGGTGACGGTCTGAGTTCTTGAGTCCCTGCCACTCAGGAGGGAGATCCAGCCTGAGCTCTTGTCTTTGGCCTGGCCCAAATGTCTGAGGGGAAAGCCAGCAGATAGGAGCTCGTTCTCAATGCTCTCTCCCTCTCTTTTTAAATAAGGAATAAAACTTATCCAGACCAGAGACAAATGCAATGAGGAGATGCCATGCCAGTCTGGGTAGGGAACTGCGTGAGGAAGGAAATGTTGCAGGAGGAAATGGACAGTTATGTACCTGAGCCAATAATGCCAACACCTTTTTGCAACTATTTGCTAAATGTATAAAAACTCAGTGAGTAATAGGAAAATATTTGAGAATAAGATGAAAGAAAAATCACTTGACAAATTGTAACCAGAAACATACTAAAAGCTGCCCACAAAGGACAAAAGAATATTATCCCCCACCCCCCGCTAGTCTGCCTTCTACCCCACAAATGGAGAACAAACAGGTCACCTGGCACCTGAGATACATCCAGGTAAACATTCAAGCACAGGCTAGATGGGTGTGCCCTGTGGTGAGATATCCAGGAAACAGGTGCATTCCTGACCCCGGGGTAGGTCGTCCAGGAAGACAGAGGGTCTGCAGTAGACCCACACAGGCCTAATTCTTTCAATTTTCCTATCAGATAATCCCTACACTCTCCCTGTCAAAAACAGGAGTAGTAACAAAGTTCAAGCAGACAAAAAGAAAACTATACATACAGCTTCAAAAGGGGGGGGGCGGGTAAAGGAAAGAGAATGGTGTCCAACTTCAAACAGAGTGGGTAGGGAGAGCTAACATGCAAACCCTCAAACCAACAGCTTTGGAGATGACACGCCCTCAGCCAGGTTCTGTGCTCTGACGCTCCAGGAAGGAACCTTGGGAGCCCTTGGTGCAGGTCTTTGAGGTCCAGCCTGCAGCCTCGCCTGCTCAGAGTGAGACACATCCCTCGCCCAGGATACCAAGAGCACCAGGGATCACAGAGGGGCAGTTTTTCCTATGCTCGTGGCTGGCAAGAAACTGCTAATGTGACGAGTGGAAAAATTCACTGCCAGGGGACAAGATGCATTCAGGCGATGGCCAATTCCACCTCTGGCCATTCCAGGAAAGTAGGGAGTGGAGCTCTTTAATAGGGAAGGAAATCTGTTACTCTGTGGACATCATAATTCACAGCATGACTTGGTCAGGAAGGAAGGGGACTCTATTTTTGAGTCCAACCCCTGCTGACTGTCCCCACTCAGCCAGGGCTCCCCACCCCCACACCCCAGCCCCACCCCTGGTGACAGTCATCTCCCTTCTGTGCCCCACAGGCACTCACGGGGCTACCACCATCTCTCCTGGAAGGGTGCGGCCTGCCTCCCAGGGGCTGGCATTTACCAATGTCACTCAGCAGGGTGAGAATGGCTCCTTCCCGCAGGCCACAGCAGTTCTCAAACTGGTTCAGGTACTGTCAAGAGGTGGGAAAGAAGTGTCAGAGTGGGCGGTCACCAGCTGCCCAGTGAGTGGCCTGAGCGCCAGCCCTGGCCCTGGGCTCTGGGTCACCTGCTTTTGGAGGAGGCCCAGGCAGCAGGACTGGCAGGAAGTGGCCCAAGCGGGAGAAGGAGGAAGCCATAGTGAGAAAAGCCCATATGAAGGGCGCTGCCTGCAGGTGTCTGAGTCACTCTGAGACAAGGCATTCCTGAGTGTCCCTGCTGCCATGGTCCTGCAGGAAGCAGACCAGAGCTCACGCCCTGTCCCGGACAGTCCCTGCAGAGGGCAGGCAAGGCAGGGGATCAATGGACACCACCCTTTGCCCACTTCCTTGACCTCGCCACACGCAGTGGTGACCAAGGCAGAGAATATGTAATGAGTGCCCGGCACTGGGTTAGTCCGCAGGGCTTAGTGCAGGAAAGCTTTAGCCACAGGATTTCACTTACTCCTCCCTGCTCAGGGAGTTCCCGCCTCAGAGTGAGGAAACTGACATGAGCGAAGGGGCAGCCAGCTGCCAACTCAGCCAGCTGTCAGAGGGCAGAGGCGGAAGTGAAGCCAGAGTTCTGTGATGCTCATGTCCCTGGCTCACCTGGCCTTTCTCAGCCTACGATGAAGCTCAAGGTGCTGCTGGGAGCTGGCATCAGGTGCAGAGGTAGAGACAGCCACCTCCCAGCCGAGGCTCAGTCATCAACACCACCCTTCACCATGATCAAGTGTTTCCTTACCTACCACATAAGCTTAACTTTTGAGATCAGTTACAATTGGACATCTACTCCTGTATAGGAAAGGCTCGTCTCCCTTTGCCTAGGAGGGCAGAGGGCACACTTGATCACAAGTGTGCAAGGTGGCAGAGACCAAGGATGCCACCACTTCCTGCCTCTTCAGATCACCCTGCAGCTGTCTCCTCCCTGGTCCACTGGCCGGCTACCGTCCCTGCCCTAGTTCAAAGTCCTCTGTTAGCCTACCACAGCCCACTGACTTTCCACTTGGAGGGGGTGGTCAGCTTGCTGTTATCTCTGCAACCACAGTTGACGTCAGGCGCCCCATTTCTCATCACTTATCAGTCCCCTGCTCAGAGACCATGCCAGCAGAGGGTTCACATCCTGCCCGGACACTGCCCCCCCCCAGGAAGTGCCCACCTCCCACAGCAAGACCAAGTCACTCTTGTGCATCATTCCTTATGGAAATTTTCGTTTCCAGGGGGAGGAAAGAAAGAGGAAAGGGCCATTAATAGTAATGAAAATAGCACACAGTAATCTTCTATATAAAGACAGAATTAAGGGAATGGGCCGCCCCGTCATCCAGTGTCATGAGCCTTCTGGAGCGAGTGGGGCAGGGGAGCTGAACTCATACACTCTCGCACACACATACACCCCTTGCATTTTCCTAACTGCGCAGCAACACTCAGTTTCCCAGGCAAAAAGAGGGCCTGGGGTGGGGCTATGACTCAAACACTGCTCCTGAAGCTGTGTGAGGTCTGAAAATCAATCAGTGGGTGCAGTGGGTGGCCATGACACCCACTGTAACGCAGGCTCCTACCTGCACCCCAACATCACAGATGAGGGGAAGCAGGTGAACACCATCATCTTGGGAATGCCCTTGGAAACTAGCCCACAGAACCAGCGTGAGGTGGGTTAGGCCGCCCCTGCCTACCCCAAGCTCAGAGCAGGATCAGGGGAGAGGAGCTAAGGCAATGAGAAGGAAGGCAAAGTCCAGTGAGTTAGCCAGGAGTCCAGAGTTCCAGCCTGGTGCCCCTTCCCATCCTGCTTGCTGACTATGTGCGGTGCTGCCACATGTGTGAAGGCCAGCTCCTCCTAATAAGGGTGGCAGCAAGGCTGGCACGCAGGGGCAGGGAATGTTGACTCTGGAGTTCCACCAGCGCAGAGTATAGGCAGTCCTCCTCAGACATTCCTGCCACGGCCTCTGACTCGGCCTTCTATTTCCCAGAATGTGGGTCAGTGTGGGCTCAGGGGAGTGCCAGTGCCCCAGGAGCTGCCTGTTGGGGCAGGCCCAGCAGGGCCCAGGTCACCTCACCTTGCGCAGGTCTCCTCCCTGACAGTACTCCATGGCCAGCAGGGGCAAGTCGTTGGGTGCCAAGTTCTGCATCCCCTCAGGGACATCCCGGGCAGCCACCACATTGGGGTGATTCAGCCTAGGGAAGAGGGGAAACCAGTGAGAGCAAACCCCCACCTGCTTCCACATGAGTCCATTCCTCTCTTGCTCCACATCCTGGCCACATCCACCTTACAACCAAAGACCGAACAACTTGAGCCCCTCGGAAGTCAACAGAGAAACACAGTTGTCCAGGAACACACTGTCCAGCCAGTTGCCTAGAGCAGCCTGAACTCAGGCCCCTGAGTTTGGGTGTCACTGAACCTGACTTAGAGGCAGAGAAGAGAAGACTTCCAATCATGCCAGTCAATGAGGCTGATGTGGGCACATAAGCAAGGTGATGCCTGGTCTCCCAGGTTAGGGAGGGAGCATCTGTCGGCCACCTTCCAAGCTGGCTCTTAGGGGACCACCCAACCACGCTACTGGCTTGGCCACAGCATCCATCAAGTGCATGCACAACCTGTACCCACACCCTGGAGCATAAAGACCAGCACCAGCACCATGGTACTGCAGTCATACCTGTCCTTGGAAAAGAAGAATCTTTTGGAAACGTGTAATAAATAAAACTGAAGAGCCAACATAGACTAACTTGTACTCCTCCCACCATCTTCAGAAGCAGGGGAGTCACAGGGGCTGGCATTGCGGCACAGCATGCAGAGCCTCCTAGGCAATGCGGGCAGTGGAGGGCTGCTCCCTCACAGCCAGCAGCTGGCTTAGGGCCTCACCGTCTCATGATCTGGATCTCCAGGCACCAACGGTCTCGGTTCCGAGGGCTGAGCTCCTGGCGGCACTGCTTGATGGCGATTTGCTCACCTGTTTCCTGTAGAAAGAACATGGTGCTGTGGCCTGGCAGAATAAAGGCCCAGCACAGATGGAGAGAGAGGGAAGGAGGGGGAAGAGAGAGCGAGCAAGAGCATGGTACGTAAACCCTGTGTGTGTCTGCTCATCTGCTCTGCTGGAGGGCCCCTCAGGGCCACGCTGCCATTACCACAGGCAACTCTATAGCCACGGTGGGTCCCTGCCAGCCAGGCTGCTCTTCTCCCACCCATTTCCACCCACTCACCCACAGCAACCCTTCTGCTCCCCCGACCTCCTCTCTGCAGTCCCCACTGGCCATTGCTGCCCACAGGGATCTATATCTCTACGCGCTGGCTGGGTTGCAGCAGGCCGCACACCACGCAGCACTGCTGCTAGCTGACTGCTGTGGCCTATCACTAGGGCCCTTGCACCTAGCAGAGCACAAAGCTTCCAATTCGAGTGCTGCTGCCTGCCAGCACTGGGAACGCAGGCAGCCGTACCACCTGCAGCTCCTTTCTCCACCGGCACAGCGCCAAGAACGCCACACACCTTCCAGGTTGTCATGAACAGGAGTGCTGGGCACCTGCACGTCACACAGGTCCTCCTGGCATGAAAAGCCTTCCCACATGGGCTCTGGCCTGCGGTTCCTGGCCCCTCTCAATCAACTCCAGCATCCAAAACTGCATTCATCTCCCAAGAAGTTACTCTTTTGTTTTAACTCTTGGTTCAATTGCAGATTTGTCCATCCACATGCGCTTTAATCTCTACACAAGTAACCAAAATCCTCAAAGTCAGCTTTCTTAAGCTGCAGAGAAGGCGACTGATCAACCTAGGAAGGATAATTGCATGACTGGGTCCTGGGGTGCCCCACAGAGCTGAGAACAGGCTGGAGAGGTAGGGCTAGGAGCAGCTGCGTGGGCAGCACCGGGCAGGGCAGCTACATCTGCCACAACGGCAGCCTCCACCATGGACACTGCCTTCTCAGAATGCAGGAGCCAGGACATCGCTGAGGGACAGCAACTGCCCCTGGCAGCAACTCTGGTGGTGCCATCAGCAGTCAAGAAGCCAGCCAGGGCCAACATCCCATGTATTCCATGCACCTGCACCAAGAACACCACCTCCAACCCAGAGTCCTGTACTCAACCCACAGGGGAGGATCTACAGCCTGTAAGACAGTTCAGTAAATCTACAGGGAGGAAACGCTGCACTCAAATTCTACTATTCTCACAAGAAAACATGTCCTAGAGGCCCCACTGAGCCAACTCAGTTTTCTCAGCTCATGAAGTTGCATGAAAATGTATGAATGCAGCAACTGTTGCGTCGCTCTACAGGATCAACAGGAACAAGACACCTGCCAGTGGTCACACTGGGTCCCAACTTTGTATGTGCTGAACTGGCCAAGATTCTTATAGGAATAAGAACTCATCTAAAAAGAGGAGAAAAAATGGAAACCTTCCAAAACAACCAGAAGCATTTAGGAAAATCACCAGAGTCACTGATCAACAGGGCCATCCTGTCAATCAGCTTTCAACAATTACAGCTCCTGTGTCAGCAGACAGACCTGAGGATGCCTCTCCAAGTCTTCGAAGTAGCTTTTATTAAACATCAATTGTTTTGGCTAAGCTCTCCATAATGCAGCCATCTCACATGTCCACTTTTTTAAAAGATTTTTTTCTTGGAAAGTCAGATTTACAGAGAGGAGAGACAGAGAGAAATAGCTTCCATCTTCTGGTTCACTCCCCAAGTGGCCACAAAGGCCAGAGCTGAGCTGATCCAAAGCCAGGAGCCTCGTCCGTGTCTCCCACACGGCTGCAGGGTCCCAAGGTTTTGGGCCATTCTCGACTGCTTTCCCAGGCCACAAGCAGGGAGCAGGATGGGAAGAAGAGCAGCTGGGATATGAACCAGTGCCCATATTGGACCCTGGTGCATGCAAGATGAGGGCTTTAGCCACTAGGTTGTTGCATTGGTACCATGCCCATTTTTTTGTTTTTTTTTCTGACAGTTCTACTAAGATAAATTCAGGTTCTAGCCACTTGTTCATTTAAGCCATACAGTTCAATGGCTTCTGGTATACTCAAGAGCTGTGCCACCAAAATCAGTCAATCATAAAGTGACTGCCATCCCTCAAAGAAACTAATATCCGTTATCAGACTCTCTCCAGTTCCCCAAGCACCTCCGGTCCCTGGCTACCACCAATCCACGCTCTGGCTCCACTGAAGTGCCTGCTCAGTCATACAGATGGGATCACACAGCAAGAGGAAGCTAGCCCATGTCTTAACCAGATGCCCACTCTGATTCTGAGAGCCTCTTTGGTTCTGCCTGTGGCAGTCATCCTAGTTAATCATTCACTTTTTCAGCTTAAATTCTGAGGCGCCCTTCTGAGAAGCTGCTCTCTTTATAAATGCTGGGCTGAGCAGGTGGTGCAGAGTTTGGGACATAGACTGGGAAGTCCACATGCTACACTGGAATGCCAGATATGAGTCCCAACTCTGTTCTTTCTCTGCTTCCTGGGAGGCAACATACGTCAGCTCAGGTAGGTCTGCTACCCACACGGCAGATCCAGCTTGGGTTCCTGGCTCCTAGCCTCAACCTGGCCCAGCCCCAGCTGAGGGAAGATCTCTTCCTGAATCAAATTTCAGACTTTAAGAACTGTAACTCCTGTTGCCATTGAATCAATTAGTGCAACTGCACAAGTGACCTTGGGCGGGAACCCATCCAGCACTTTTCCAGGAAATACATCACAGAATGTGCATATTACTGAATCTTGAAGAGCACTGTCCCTTCCACATTGTAGCTTCCCCGTGCCTCTGTCTGTGCTGAGATGGATTTGAAGCTGGATTTGAGTTTCACTTCCTGGGGTTGGCAGTGCCAGCATCCCATGTTCACGTCTTGAGTCCCAGCTGCTTTACTTCCCATCCATCTCCCTGCTAATGGCCTGGGAAAGCAGCGTAGGATGGTCCAAGCGCTTGAACTCCTGCACCCGCATGGGACACCCAGAAGAAGCTCCTGCATCCTGGCTTTGGATTAGCTTACCTCGAGCCATGGCAGCCATTTGGGGAATGAATCTAATTCTGTCTTTCAAGTAAAATATTTAAACCTTACAAATATTTATTTAAATAAAAAAGGTTTAACTTCCCATCAGTGTTTAGATTCACACCTTCCTACCCATTTCTGGGGTAGCCTCATCAATAGCAGCTCTGATAGGCAGTATCTCCTACAAATATTTGCTCATACAAAACTGATGCTGAAACTTAACTACCACTTTGACAGTACAAACAGGTAGAACCTGTGAGAGGCAACTGAGCCACAGGGGTTGGTGGGGTTCCACCACCACGTGACACTGCTGTCAAAAGCCCTCATCAGACACCAGTGATTGGACCTGGGACCAGCCAGCCTCCAAAACCAACTTTCTGCCCAACAGAAACAATTGTCTCGGGCACTGTTCCAGCAGTACAAATGGACACACACTGGCTTCCAGGCAAGCAGGGGCCCTGTGGACATGGAGAACCAAAAGGCCATCACAGGAGGAAACCTGGCTGCAGGCTCCCATTCGCCATGCTCAGGGCATCCACAGAGAGTATTTTTAGAAGAATTTACAAGATGCCATGACTCACGTTCCTTACCTCAGAATGATACTCTAAACCCAGATACTGAGAAATAGGTACCTACTTAACTTCCGTTGTGGACAGGGGAAGTCCCACCCTCCCCCACCTGACAACAGAACCAGTCACACCAACTTTTCCTTATGTGGTGGCCATGTCCTGAAACAGCCCAGGTGCCCTGTATTGTTTCTTTTGCAACAGAAACCCAAACAGGAGGACTTCCTGTTACTACAAGCATACCTGCCCTGAGAAGCACAGGTTCATCACACAGACTCCAAACACCTGCTCCTAAGAACCAGCCGGTTGGGCCTTCACCAGCAGTGAAACTCCAACAGTGACTAACACAGGCCTGAAACCCCCGGAGCCTCAGCTCGACCCTCAGGAAACCCAGACTTGGCCCGATGCATCTCAGAATCGCACTTCCAGAAACTAGCTTTTTCATGGGTGACACAACTGAAAGTTGGCTAATATTTGCAGAAAATGGAGAAAGGCGCCAATAGGATTATCTATACTGAACGTTGATTGTGATGGTTCAGTTGACAGTTTCACCTTTTGTACATCAAAAGATAAAACCTATGTGCCAGCAGGAATGCACTATAGAGTGTAAAATGCCCACAGTGGGCAGGGCACACGTTGTCAGACATCTGATAACCACCAAAAGGGGCTGTGGCAGACACAGCCGGGAGGTCCCCAGCCCAGGTGGGACACACTGGGGCCTGGGACTGCTCTAGAGCTAGCCTCTCACCAACACAGGGGGAACACAGGAAGCCAGTGTCTACATCCAGACCCACAGCCCAGAAAGCCCACACTTCAGGTATCCTGGCGACCAAGCAACGAGGCTGCTGCAGTGTAGGGGATAACCAGTAGCACCTCCTCACCCTTCCTCAGGCTCCCAGCCCCCAGGAGGAATGTCTCAGAAAGGAGGTACAAAGTTGGGCCCAGGGAGTGCAGGCCTAGAGGGGCCCAGAGATCTGGGGTTTGGTTACAGCATTACCCTGAATCAGTGGGTCACAGACCAATCCTTGCTAAGAGGACTCTGGCTTCTTCAGCTCTCTTCCCAATGGTGCAGACACCCTCTGGGCCCAGGAGCCATACAGCTAAAGGCTGAGTTAGTTATGTAACCCATAAGATGGAGGGGGTGCTAGCCCATCTAGTGACTTCAGTTAAAAATGTCTAAGGCTCATGGTGTAGCAAGCCAAGCCTCCACCTGCAATGCCAGCATCCCATATGGACATTGGTTTGAGTCCCAGCTTTCCACTTCCAATCCAGCTCCCTGCTTGTAGCCTGGGAAAGCAATGGAGGACGGCCCATGTGGTTGAGCCCCTGCACTTACATGGGGAGACCTGGAGGAAGCTCCTTCCTGGTTCCTGGCTTTGTATTAGCCCCGCTTTAGCAGCTGTAACCATTTGGGAAGTGAACCAGAAGATGGAAGATTCTCTTTTTCTCTCTGTAACTTGCCTTTCAAATAAATATAAATCTTAAAAAAAAAAAAAAAGAGTGTCTGTGGAGTAAGCCTTGAGTGGATCTAGCAGCATCATTTCCTTTCTCTGGTTCTACACTGGTGCTACTGTCCTGACTGGTTTCTCGCCCCCTAAGACCATCTAGTCTACCTCCTTTAGAGCCTCAACTTTCATTTCCTTCAAGAGGCCTCCATTTGCCTGAGGGTCCAGAGGGAACATGCAGATAAAGCACTTGGCATAGCTGGCACAGTACATTCTCCATATATAGTGGCATTATGCCGACACAGTCTAGCTCTAACATGTAGGCTTGATGTATTCCAAGCATTCACTTGATTGTCTCAAAGCATCATCCCACTGAGGACAGGGATCGCACTGCGTGGATCAAGAGTCTTTAAGACCTAGAGACACACAATGAGTTCACGTGAACTTGCCTTGCCCTGGGAAGGGACAAGTGAAGGTTGACACCACTTCACAGGAAGCTAAGGTAAGACCTTCCTGTCAACAGCCAAAGCATGTGTTGCCTCCTTAGCTCTCAGAAGTATCCCATAGGGCCTCTCTCCCTTCAAAGTGCAGAGAGAATGTAGCAACTGCAAGGCACCCCAGGGCATTGCCATTTGCTTCCAGAAGCCAGCCGATCCACATCCTGCCAGCCATGCTGGATATCCAGAGTGGAGGGAGCAGTATCTCCAGAACCCTGGAGTAGTGACTTACATACTTACATCAAGAAGCCCTTCAGTATGGCGCAAGCATCTGAACCCAGGTGTGTGCGTGAGACACGTCTTCTCTCCACACTTCCAGAAGGTGCTTCAGGCTGAGGTCACTCAATTATCGCCTTTCTTCTTCCTCTGTATTTGACCAATGTCTGACTGGGGCTGTGCTACACCACCTGACACAGAATCCTCACATTGGAGTTCTCTGTACAATGGGTCCTCCAGAGAAGGATCCATCACTGGCTGCTTCAAAGTGGCTTAGACTGACAGTGGAGAACAAAGAAGCGCCCCAAGGAGGAGTACTGAGTACGTCCTGGGGTGTCTCTAGCCTTGGTTCAACCACTTTAGAAGCCCCAAACCAGAGAGAAGCAGCACACAGCTGGGATTTAAACAGTTTCCACACATCAGACCTCCCCACTGGCTCCTTTATTCGCTAGCCTCAACTCTCTGGCAAGCCTTGGGGCTGGGGATTCCATTTCCTCCGCATACCAGGAATTAGGACCATACTCCTCCCTCGGAGCATTCTTGTGAGGTCTGCAGGTCAAATAGTATGCTCAATCACACCAGGTTCTCAACAAACGATGGGTCTGATGAGCAGGCACTCCTACAAACCACAGCTAGTCTCCTTCAGTCAGCAGAACCAAATCCACAGAGTCCTGGGGGCTGCGTGCACTGCTGAGGACCGTCACTGTACCTGGCTGCGGCTAGGTGGCACACACCACCGTAGCCCGGCTGTGAAGGAGGGGGCCCAACCAAGAATATGCTGCTCACCCTCCACCTGCACACTGCCAAAAGACCTCCCCACAGCCCTGGGGGTCTCTCAGACTGACCAACGACCTAGGAGGGTGGACTTGAAACCAGCCATGGTGGGAGTGGCTATTCCCCACGGAAATGAGCAAACAGTACAGGGCATTTTTCTGGTTGCTGAAGAAAACTTGTCCAGCACTCCACTGTTTGCCTGGATCCTGCAGTTACAACCTTCCCACACATCATCCCATGGCTCTCTGGATCCAAACAAAACATCCTTGGTTTTGATGGCCTCACCAATGTAAGTTCTTCTACCTCCTACCCTCCCTGTTCCTCTCCTGGTCCTCCATCACACAAGCCCCCCTACACCTGCCCACCTGCCCGAGCTGCAGCCACTCAGGGCCTCTCCTCCCACCTTCTCTGCCTGGCTAGCTTCTACAACCTCTCAGATCTAAGCTCAAAGGCCAATCCCTAAGCCCCAGCTGACCCCTCCCTCAGCCTAAGCTCTCACTGTACTGGCACCCACAGCCTAGACACGTTTAGCACGGTTCAAAGGTCACCCGTACAATTAGCTGACTGATGGTACTTTTTCCTCTCGACCATTCCACTCATAGTAGACATTCAACAAACACGCAGAAGACTGAATGAACGGTTCTGGACACCACACACACATACAGCATACCTGTTCTAGAGGAACTGAAAGAAATGCAAAGCTAGACACAGCCCTGGCTGACAAGGAACTGAGAGCTTCCAAACAAAGTGTGAGGTGAGGTATGCCACAATGCACCAGGCGATAAGGAATTCAGTGGAAGGACCAACTGTCCTGGACAGGTTTACAGAGGAAGTAGCCTAGAGCTGCTCCTGGGGTAGTAAGCAAAATTAAGGAAAAGGCACTGAGCAGAGGGAGGCTTCTCGGGCAGGAGCCAACAGGGGCAGTAATGCCAGGCAGGCAGGGTGCAGAAGGACTGCAGAGGAGCTTGGCTTTTCAAAAATAAAGTTGAGGTTGTTGAAGCGAGAGAAGGCCTGGAAGGCAGTGACTTAGAGCACTAGTCCCTTCACACACTTCCCTGGGCCCTCTCAGCATCTTTCCCAGCACAAGGGCAGATGGAGGGTGTTCTGAGTGGAAGGACACAGACCTCAGAGCTTCTGGACAAAGCCTAGAACTCGTTCTGCAGGAAACCAGGATGTCTAGTGAAGGTGATCCTGAACTAGCCTGTCCAGGAAAACCAAGACCATAGAATGATCTGGCCCTCCTGCTCTAACACCAGGCCCCCAGCTATAAAGAGACCTGGACACGTTCAAAGCCGCTCTAGTTCTAAGGCCTCCGCAGCCACGGGCTGGCTGAAAGCCTGTGATCAAGGGCTCCTCCTCCAGGCTGGCTCTCATTCTCCCCTAAGGGCCTTCCCATCCTCTCGGCGCCCCAGACTGCGTCTGCCATCTCTTCAGTCCAGCAGGGCCCTCCCTCCAGGATGTCCAAGGGTTTGAAGCTCACTATAGCTCTATGGAGACAAAGCATTCCTAAAATATGAGTGCATGTCTTCCAAGTGTTACCCAAGACTGGAGTCCACAAACACAAAAAACAACTAAGCTTTTCCAGTGTCAACTCCACAGCAGTCCTCACAGGTCCTATGGCACATGTGGGATTGAAGGGAGTGGGCAATACCCGAGGCCTGAGAGTGGATAGGTCCGTGATCTGGGCAAGCCACTCATTTTCCCCCAGAGGGAGAATGGAGCAATGCATTACTTCGGCCTAATAAAGCAACACTCAGAAAATCAACAGGTGGCTTCAGTCCTGCCGTGAACAAGCCGACAGAAAGGTGACACATGCAGACACCGCCTGTGGGTCCTGTCTTGTACCTTGCTGCTCGGCAACAGCGGGAAGACAGACTTCCCAAGGCGGACATGTATTCTGCAGACTTTAACGATGCTTATCCTGTGAATGTTTCTCTCTGCAGGTTTTGTCATGACACTAGCAGCAGGTGAGTTCTTAGGAGATGTCAATATGGGCAGCAACAGGCTTGCAGCCATGTAGGCAGCCCAGTCAGTAGGTAAAGGTGGCCTGGTCAGTTGGGCCAGCCCACTCCCCCCGCTTGTGTCTGTCTCTTTCTCCCCACGCAGGACTGGCAGCCCCTGTGTACCTGATTATGCCATCGGATGACATTTCCAAATCCCCCGGTGCCAAGGCGCTCTCTCATTTCCCAGGCGCCGCATGTTTGGGTGGGCAGCGAAGGTGACCAGCTCATACTGTCTCCCTGCTCAATCTGAAAGGAATTAGGGGTAGTGGTGGGGACAAGGAATAATGGGGAGGTGGAGGGGGAAATAGATCAACCTCAGAAGTGGTTTTCACTTTGATCCAGAAGTCTGCTCCCATCCCCTTCCTTACACCACCCCAGGGAGATGAAGCTCCACTCCCAGACCTAGCCAGGCCTCTTCCGGGCCAGTTCAGGAGAAGGGCCGTCCTGCCCAGCATGGCGGGAAGCAACCAGGGTTCCCGTAAGCCTGGCCCCCCTCCCCCTGAGATCCCCCAAGCCTGGCCTCCCTCTCCCAGCGGTCCCTGTGAGCCTGCCCTCCCCCTCCCCTCCCCCGGGGTCCCCCAAGCCTGGTGCCCTCCCCCTAGGATCCCCCAAGCCTGGCCTCCCTCTCCCAGGGGTCCCTGTAAGCCTGGCCTCCCCCTCCCCCTCCCCATGGGTCCCCCCAAGCCTGGCCTCCCCCCAAGGGTCCCCACAAGCCTGACTCCCCTCCCCCTGGGATCCCCCAAGCCTGGCCTCCTTCCCCATGGGTCCCCACAAACCTGGCCTCCCCCTCCCCCGGGGTCCCACAAGCCTGTCCCCCGCCTGGGTCCCCACAAGCCTGACCTCCCCCTCTCAGGGGTCCCCCACACAAGCCTGGTCTCGGTGATCCCCACCTGCCCAGCTTCCACACCGGCAGCCCCATGCCCGTCCCCCAACCCCAGTTCCACAGGGCTCCCCCGTGGAGACAGTGGGGGTGACCCCCGAATCGCCGCCAGCTGAGAGGGCCCGGGGCTCTGTGCCGCCCCCGCAAGACTCACCTGTCGGCGGGGGGCGCGGGGCAAGGGCCAGGCTCCCCGGGGCCGGGGTGGGGAGCAACACTGGGGGCCGCGACCCCCCAGTCATGAAAACGGGTACACTTCCTCAAACGCTTCCTGCCCCGACGTCACGGGGCACGTGGCCGCAGCCGCGCTTAAAGGAGCCGCGCTTAAAGGGGCCGCGCCCGCGGGGCTGCTCCCGAGGCTGCGGCGTGGGGATTGCAGCCTGTGGACACCTCTGCAGGGCGCGGGGCCGACGGTGTTTTCTCAGCCCTCCCAGGAACGCTCTTTCGGGCTGGAGGCTGGGTGCTTTCTCCCCTCGGCTCTCTCCGGGAATTTCCTGCTCCTGTCCGAACTCAAGGGGCGGGGGAGGGGAGGTTTACAAAAATCGTCCCCCAGGGCTGTCGGGGCTGGGGTGGAGGATAAAAAGTCACAGCTATGAATTCCCAGAAGTGACACCCCCTACCCCATCGGTAGGGGTAACCCCGAGGTTCAGCCTCCATGAACTGTGGAAATTCAGTCCCTTCGGCCTGAGGCTGTCATTAGCATTACTGTAGCGAGGTGTTTTGATTGTTGGGTTGATACCTTTGGTGATGGTGTATGTGTGTGTGTGTGTGTGTGTGTACACGCGCGCCCGCGTATCAATTTTTACTCAAGCAGAAAAAAAAATATGAAAGGAGCCCTGAGAAGGTTCATGTTACCCCACTATGCCAGGAGTGGTCCTGAAGAAAACATTTGAATTCTTTTCTCTTGTAAGCTGTATTTATTTGAAAGGCAGAGTTACAGAGAGAGAGAGAGACAGAGAGAGAATCTTCTATCCCATGGTTCCAATGACCACAGAAGCAGGAGCTAGGCTAGTCCAAAGCCAGGAACCAGGAGCTTCTGGGTCTCCCACGTGGTTGAGGGGCCCAAAACTTGGGAAATCTTATGTTTGTTTTCCAGGTGCCTTGGCAGGGAGCTGGATCAGAAGTGGAGCAGCCAGGACTCAAACCAGTGCTCATGTGGGATGCTGGCACCACAGGTGACAGGCTTACATGCTATACCACAGCGCAGGCCTCAGATTTCTTGGTTCACTCTTGAGGCAACCTTACCAATTGTATGATACAGTATTACTGCCATCCAGTTTTAGAGATAGGAAAGCAGAAGCTCAGCATGACAAAATCTTTATCCCCAATCACAGGGCTGGTTCCCAGGGCTCACACTGCTGATATTTGGATCAAAGCAGCATGCTGAGTAATCGAGAAAGAGGCAAATTGGGTTCTGAATGCAGATACATTAACTGTCAATCTCTGAGGTTGTGATGAGGTGCAGCCATTGATGGCCAGCACCTGCTTGACAGGTTAATTGACAGCAGGACAGCACCCAAACAGAGTTTATACTCACCCCTTCCTGCCTCCTGTAAAGCCATTCAAGTTAATTGTACAGCAGGAAACCAGTTTAGGGGGCTCCTTGTGTGTGCCTGGTGCCTCCTGCCTTCCACCCCAGTTAGGTCAATTGACAGCGTGGAAATGACTGCGAAGGTCCTAGCACCTGGCCCCTCCCATTGCACTAGATTAGGTTAGCTAACTACAGAAAAACTTTGGGCTCTCGTAGCTCCTCCCTTCTTGCCTCCTGCACATGGAAACGTTGTAGTGTGGCTCTCAATCTCATTGGAGGATGAGAGCTTAAAAACCCCTGACTTCTTGCCATGTGGCACGCAGTGGCTTCTGTCATCAAGCTTAGGTAATAAAGGCTGCTCTAATATCCTACACTTGGATCTGGTGTGATCACAACACTCTGCAACAAGGTGTGAAGCATAGATCTCTTCTCAAAATGTGGGTTTAAATGGCGTGAAATCACTTTGTAGAAACCAGAAACGATGGAAATAGGAGCAGCCGGAGCAGCCAGGGCAGCCAAGAATCGCAGTTTTCCTGGAGCTTGGCCACAGGTCATGGACAGGAGACGACAGCAGAACTACATAGGACACCGGGTCATGGGAGACCCACGTCAGATGCCCAGATTACCCAGATTCTTAGGAACAGCTGTGCCCAGGGCTGGGGCGGGCACAACCATCTCCAGTGCTAGTGCAAGTGCTGCTGAAGCAAGCACATGGCTTGCTCAGCCTGGAAGCAGGGCGTAAAAGGACCCTGAGAAATGAAAGCAGTGTATCTGTAACAACTACACTTTTGAAGAAAAACGTTTACTGAGTACCTGCTTGTGCTGGGACCACATGGAGGGCCACAAGAGGTTTCTCTTGACCCCCTGTCCCTGAGAAGTTGATGAACTGCCCGCAGATGGGAGTCCCGTGACACTGTAATGGAAGGGTTTGGGTTCCAGCTCAACGACTGAACATAAATCTCGGCGTCACTAGGTCTTTGTGTGTTTCCTTTTAAATCAGTGGCATCTCAGGAAAGGGTCTGGATTTTATCATGTTCCAAGGGATTTATCACCTTCAGCCCTGCTTTCTGGCCAGATAAGGGATCCAGGTTGTTGCTTATATCTGGTCTCCATCCTGCTCTGGTGATGCGAGCAGGCTGTGGACTGAAGATGTCGGACAGAATACTCTCCTTTCTTCCCACCTGGAAACCGCGTGTGCTTTTAGCTGTCTCTATGCGGTCATCAAGAAATCCTGAGCAGCCTGGGCTCCTGGAATGGTTGTAGGCGTCCCTGACCCCAGGGGTCCAAGAAACATAAACCAATCAGAGGATCCATAGAGCCGAATCAAACAAGGAGAGCTGAACCAGGCAATCTAAAAGCAGGTGCTAACTGTTCTTCCATCGTGGCAGTATTGCACTAGAGATAAGGATAAAGTTTCTGAACATTGTTAATTTTATAATAAATTCCCAGAATAAGTCAAAGATAATGATCATCTGACTCAGTCTTTTGGTGTCATCATTTGATTAAGCTTTGCTGGCACACCTTACAGCATCCACATGGGGAAAGCACTGTTTTCTCTGCAATCTACAAGCTGAGTCATAGTCAAGAGGAACCAGCTTCTGAGCTAGGGAAGAAATAGAACAGACCACTGCCTGCTCGGGACAGGCACTCAGCCCAGGGCTTAGCACTGGAACAGACCACTGCCCGCCTTGGAGAGGCACCCGGCGCAAGGCTTAGCAGCAATTCCTTCACAGTATTCCAAGTTCATGTTACAGGAAGGACTGTGCAAGCCAGGGCTTGCTCCTTCAACACACTTGAACTCCTGCTGCCAGAAAAGTTGGAAAAACTAGTTTAGTTGCAGGGCACAGAGACACTTACTTCCCTTTGTTTTGGGTGGTCAGGGGAGACATAGGGTTGGGCTGGTGGAGACAGATGGTGAGAATGAAGCTTGCTCTGGATCCTGTGGGGCTCAAAAGAAAAAGAAGGAAAGAAAATGCAGCCAACTCTCATCTCTAGCGGGGTGACTGGGACCGCAGTGAAACTTCAGAAACAGCAGAGCCACTTGGATACAGAGCTGAGCCATTTCCAAAGACAGGGTGAGTCAAGCAGCTCCATGCTGGAGTGTGTGTGTGTGTGTGTGTGTGTGTGTGTGTGTGTGTGTTAAATGCGGTCACTCCAGAAGACAACTGAGATCTCTTGTCCTTTGTGATCCCAGCACAGTGAGCCCTGAGCTCCACCCTGTCCCCTCACAGTTCAAGACCTTCCTTTCCCTTCTCCCCAGGAATAGGGAGTGACATAAATGCATGCATGATGGCAGGCAAAGTGGGAGTGGTACTTCGCATTTACCTCTAACTCTGAACTGTCTGACTAAAACTCATTAATTTTTTTTTTTTTTGAGGGACCAGCACTGTGGCTCATCAGGCTAATCCTTTACCTTTAAGCACCAGGATCCTGTATGGCTGCCGGTTCGTGTCCTGGCTATTCCAGTTCCCACACAGTTCCCTGCTTGTGGCCTGGGAAAGCAGTGGAGGATGGACCAAAGTCTGGGGACCTGGAAGAAGTTCCTGGATTCTGGATTCAGATCAGCTCAGCTCAGTTGGCCACTTGGGTAGTGAACCAGTGGGTAGAAGATCTTTCTCTCTGTTTCTCCTTCTCTTTGTAAAACTACCTTTCCAATAAAAATTAATCTTTTAGAAAGTTTTAAAAAAATGTTTGAGAGGCAAATAAACATACAGAAAAATAGAAGTTGGGGGGACTCCCATTGGCTTGTTCGCTCTCTAAATTCCTACCTCAAAGGGGATGAGATTACCATTGTAGGAAACCAAGAACTGGATCCAGGTCTCTCACATGCAAAAACCATGAAGAAGTATCAAATTCAGGCTTCCTAAAGTCAAGAGCAGGCATCCTGATTCATAAACCAAACACTGGCTTTCCTTCTTGCTACCTCCCTCTTCCCACCTGCCCTTCCATGTGGATCTTCCCCCTCCCCTGCCACCATTCCACAACTGTTAGTTTGGCCCCACACTGTACCCCAATCCTTCCTAGCATGTGTTAATTTTCATAGGGTATTTATTGCATATGCCAGCCTCAGTACTGCCAGCGCCCTGCCCTTCAGGGCTCATCCAGCTAGGCAAAAAGCACTCTGGCCACATGGTAAGCACCCGGTCACTATTTTTACTGGAGGAGTCCAGTCTGTTTTGGGATTATCTTGCCATCCTAGCTGGTGAGTCCCGTTCCCTACTCAGATATGGAAGTCGGTCATCCAATGATCACATGATATTTGGCACTTTACATGAAGTTCAGAGAGGCAGAAGTATTTACAGCATAGCATCACAAGTAACCTAAAATTCAATATCAAAGTAGGCATTTAGTGTTTCTGCTGTGGTCTAAGTTTTTGGTCAAATATTTGTTTTCTAGATTCTTGGTCTTACTTAAAAGCATTTCAAGCACAGGCACCAACATGGCTTAAGCAAGTGGTGAAGTTTATTCAGAGGGCGAGGAATACATACAAACATGGGCCATGGTTAGGGAGAGTGGGCCAGAAAGGAAAAGGATCAGGGAGATTGTTTTTGCCTCTGTCCTCAGAGTCCATCCACAGGAAGCAGGACAGCAGGCAGGTGTGAGGCACACGACCAGAGAGAGCCCTGAGCCCCTCCCCATCATGGGTTAGGGGGGCTTGAGAGGGGAGTGATCATGCAACAAAGCAAGAACACCCCTCCTCAGGTTCCAGGTGATAGGT